TTATACATATATATATATACATATATATATACATATATATACATATATATATACATATATATATATTTATACACATATATATATATATATACATATATATATATACATATATATATACATATATATATATATAATCGAGGTAATTATTGGATATGTACTATTCAGGAGTCATTATCGGATATCCACGGATGTGGGGGGCATAGCAGATGGGTAGCTTTGCAAGCTGGGATCTAAACTGAAACACTGGAGTTGATTGGAATTTTGGTGCAAAAGCTTGTTGGTGTAAAGACTTGGTGTTTCAAACCTAGTTGGTGTAAAAGCTGCTTGATGATGGTTGGTGTGTAAAAGCTTGTTTGTGTGAGAACTGGTTGATGTAAGAGTTGGTGTTGTGTGAAAGCTTATTTGTACAACAACTAGCTACTTGATGCAAAACCAGTGTGTGGTGTAAAAAGATTCTCGTGTAAAAACTAGTACGCGCCAAAATTCCTTCGCATCGGAGCTGATGTGTGTAAACAGTCCTCGACGCAAAACGTGGGTACAAAATTGATTGGTGTAGAAACATGAAAATTAGGTGGTGTAGAAGCAGGTTGGTGCAGGCCAGAATGGCCTTGAACATGTTTTAAAGCAGCAAACACATGGTGAAAAACGTGGGCATATGCAGTAATCGTTAAATCGTTGGTTGGATTCATGACATCATAGCCAGAGAAGACAATAAAACGAGGAGAAGAAGACGTGGCCGTAGACTTATCGTAGACTTTGTGGGCACAAGGTGCGCCCCAAGAACCAGATACAGTCCACGGTTCAATCAGACACACTGGCAGGCCGCAGATTCAATTGGATTTGTATAATAATAATAATGATGATAATAATAATAGTAATAATAGTACGTACCAACAATAATAATGAATTGGAGTTTACTACCGGGTCAGTTTACTTCCGGGTTGGCAAGGAAATAACGCACTGGAGATTGTTAGAGATGGTTTATTATTGGGTTCCAATGAGACTGGGAAGATGATAAACTTATAATTCTCAGTTCACCCTTCTCTAATGTGGTAAACCCAAAAATATACAGTCAATATTGGGGCCGATTATTTGACATTCGGCTACGTTTGGGATGGTGTATGATGGAAATGACCCCCCCATTTTTTTGATTTCTCGTGTTGGGTTTGCAGCATGAATTCAATGAGAAACCATGTCCGAAATGGGTTTGAATCCCCTCGTGTCGCAACATCGGAAAAAGGAGGCAACGGTTCTCCACATCCTTATGGCCAAGTGGTTGACCCCATACGTGCAACTGAAAACTGCACAATGGATGGTTTGGAATGATCATTTTCCCACTCTGAACTTCGATTTCCTGTCATGTCAACTTCAATTGTTCACCCAGAAACATGGAATGTGAAAAGTATGGAAAAATGAATACTAACACTGACATCATTGACCAATTGATTGGACATTTTCTGGGTCACTTGCACCCCCCAGTTCCACGCGTTCCACAGGGCCCATTGCTTCACTGGAAGACTTTGGGTTCCCATGGCTTTGGTGCTGTGGTCATTGGACTGAAGGCCAAGGAGAGGTTCAGAGATGGTGGGTGCACTATGGCAGGTTCTTTGGTGATTTTATGTGCAGTAATCCCCTTCTGAAGATGGACAATTACATGATGAAAAGTGACTCATTATCACTATTTTGGTATTTTTGGCGGGATCTTACCTTTCTATCGTTTGTGGGTTGCGACATTGTGGGGATTTAACCATCGTGTACATGTTCTTTCTGGCTTCAACCAACACAAAAAGGGCATATTTGCAGTATCAGTATAAGTGACAACTGATGGTTGGTTGACGATTTGGGTGTTGCACTACCCCGGGCAGCTATTTTGAGGTTCATCATGGTCCATGAATACCCATGAAATGGGACCCATTAACCAACCACAACTAAAAGGGTTTTACCAGTCATAGAACATATAAACCAACAAGCCAACAGACATGATGAGATCCATCAGAGATGGACAACATAGGATACATGGTTGGAATAAGCACTACAGTAAACATAAACCAATAAAATCTGAGAAATAAAGTAGAACAAGTGGTAGCTTCTTGGTGCAGCCCTTGTTTCATGAATCGTTCCCGGATTCTGTTAACATCACCGGTTGGGTCCGTTGGCTTTGTCTCAACTCGACCTAGCCAGGGGAGTCCACAGATAGGACCTCCAGTCTTCACGTCTTCGCCGGGCTTTGGTGGACTTGTGGCGAGGTCGGAAGGGGCTTCTGGTGCTCAAGGATTTGCCTGGACTCACACCAGACGAGCAACTTGTTTCCAAGCGGTCTTTGGATTGGAGGTGTCTCAGGTTGTTGGATTGTCTTATGGGGATCATGACATGAGATATTTTTAGGGCTTTGTAACATGGTTTAGACCCAAATGGAGTATAGTTGTGATACGTTTATGCGGATGAGTGATGGTTGATGCTCTCCTGTTTTAAACAATATCTGGGTTATCATCATGGGAGTCCTGTTCTTCACCAACCACGATTAGATGGACGAACCGCGGGTTTTGAACCCTGCTCAGGGCCAAGGCAAATGGAACAGCATGCTGGTTTTCCTGGTTGGGGGGTCATTAATGCTTAGTCCTATGAATTTATGAATTTGTCATGGTTTGTCTGGGATTCATGAATGTTTATAATGCAATCCCCCATCAAGCAGCTGGTTTAGGGGAGATTTCCATCTCTATGACAGGGATGATGAAGCACATGAAGCAACCGCTGGGACAGGAACACACATGACTGTCATATGACTATGGATCAACGCAAATCAATATAGGATAGCTGAGACTGAGACAGTGGTAGAATCTGAAACTCGTGCACTACCGGGTGGATTCACAGTGAACTAACCCTTGGTAAGTTAGCTAGACGTTTTCAAGTTTTCGTTGTGAGACTCTTGAAGGCAAATCGTATCCCAATTCGTGCAATATCATCGCTGCATTTGTCCGAATTTGGTTTCAATCGCGTGGCTAGCATCTATCTACACAAGAAGTTCGTGTTCCCTGATAAAGTATTGGCCTTTCTGGAGGTGTTCCCGGTCTAGTCCTTACGAGTGGTTAGATCCTACTCAGAAGAAACATGTCGCTTTGTATTGGAAACCTTCCTTCGACGTTTTGTTGTGACTGCTTAAAGTCCACAATATCCTGCATGTTGACCTTTCCTAATTCAACGTATCGATGATAACGTCTCCAGATGTTGGATGAAGCATTCTGACACTCTGGCTGGATTGATCCCGAGTGGAACCTCATATGGCTAGAAAAAGAAACTCGTGCACTACTTTCATCACAGATCTATATCTGCTTCACGAAACACCTGCCATTTCTGCGGTCGCCATTTGACGCTATCCAGTTCTGATCATTTCGGATGACACAACTCTCTTCTGCATGTATGGAATATTTGCCTAGATTTGCAGCATCATGCAGCATCTATTGTGTACATGTTCATCTAAAGTCTTTAGAATTGCATGTCGTTTGTAATTATAAATATTGTATACATACATACATACATACATACATACATACATACATACATACATACATACATACATACATACATACATACATACATACATATTATTCGTTCTAATTCTCTGACTCTCCCTGTCTCTATATATAATTACACAATGTATCACAAATGTGTGTATGTATGTATGTAATGTAACGTAACGTAACGTAATGTAATGTAATGTAATGGTATGTAATGTAATGCAATGTAATGTAATGGTATGTAATGTAATGGTATGTAATGTAATGGTATGTAATGCAATGGCGTGTAATGATAATGGTATGTAATGTAGTTAATGGTATGTATGTATGGAATGGTATGCAATGGTATGGTATGGTATTGTAATGCAATGCAGTGCAATGAAATCTCAGATGTAATGTATGTATATGTAAAATACAATCTATTGACCCAGGTGTACATATAATATATATATATATGTATCTATAAATATATATATATAATTATATATATGTATATATGTATATATATTTATATATACATATATATATACATACACACTATTTACATATCCACAGACACATCCCATGTTGGAATTTGAGGTTGCTGGAGTTCACCAGTTCTTTCGGATCGGTGGAGGAAGCCTTAGCGGCTTCCCGCTCCAGGGCGCAGGTCACACATCCGGGGCGCGCTGCGGTGCCAGGGGTGGTGATGAGGCGCCCGGGGCGGCGGAAGTCCTAGGTTTTTGGGGTGAAAGTAGTGTCAATGGATTGGTTTAAGGGAAAATTTGCAGGAAACCCCCATATTTAATGGTAAAAACCATGGTTTCCTGCAGATTTTCCCTCAATCCAATGACTGGATAGTGACGTTTGAAGCATTTTAATGTGGTAAAGTAATACACCACCAATTTATGATGATTTGGGGGATGGTTTATTATTGTTTTACCAACATTACATCCATTTTGTATCCCCCTTTTTATCAGTTGCTTTATGATTTTCTATTTTTATTTTTTAATCCGTTTTCTTATATATTTGGTGTTGTTTGAATCCGTGAGTTTTGGTTGTCCAGGATGGTTGAGTCCATTATGTGTTGAGAGGTGGTTGAACTAACTGTAGTTACCTAGGGGCCCCGGGTGGTGTTGGACACTTTCAACATCAGCACTGCTCAAGTCCTTACATTTTTCCCCATCTGTCCACCTACCAGGTGGTCTCTAGATTTTAGCAAAGTTGCAACTCCTCTTCTTCCACCTACTCTTCTTCCCACTTCTCCTCCTTGTCTCCTCTGCCAGCTCGTCGCTACTGGCAGCAATGGATCCCAGCCAGTGGGCCACGCCTGGACCCGAACTCTAAATCGCGAGCTCCGGATGCAGTGGGCCACGTCTGGACCTGAACATAGAATGTCAGAATAGAACTGCCAGATAGGATGTCAGAACATATGCCAGATAGAATGCCAGAAAGAATGTCAGAATACATGCCAGAAAGAATGCCAGATAGACTGTCAGACTGAATGTCAGTGGGTGGCGATCACTCGAAGAAAGTAATTTTATGCGACGCATTGATTGAACATCTCTGACTTCTGTGAAATGCTGTTTCATGCTGTTTTTTATTTTGGCACAGGCAGGTTTTTTGTGGGTCACAAGGGCTATCCTCCGGCAATCAACCATTGCTTTCTGGACAATCCCCATTTAGTTCGAAGATTTCCCAGCCATGTAGCTGACTTCCCGTTCAGCCGTTCAGCGGCTTTGACTACTTGGAGGATCATCCCAGGTTGGGTTCTATGCAATAGCCACTTAGAAATTGGATATCTATAAGAGCCACATTCATGGGGACTTACGAACCTCACACCAGGATACACCAGGGTTACCAACCACAACCACGATCCATGGACTATATTGAGTGACTATATAGATAAGCATGGAGTTCGCGAAAGTTTCGCGAAAGTATTCTTTTTATTCGCGAAGAATGGCCGTTCCCGGATAAAGACGATAAAGGAATTTTGATCAACAACCATAAACTAGGCTGGGGAACAGCCGTGATCCCACGACAAACGAGCTGAACGCCTCCTTCACCTTGAGCGCTCAGCTGCCGACCTTTTCGAGTCATGGCTGCATTGGGATGACCATTGACCATTGACCATTAAACCACCATGAAGAGGCTTGCTCCAAGTCATTATAGGTAAATGATAGCCACTATAGTCACCCAATTTAACCCGCAAACGCACCTAGGTTGTTTGGAGTAATGGGGATATAATGCGATATGATGATGCGACATAATGGGATATATATATACACATATATATATGTATAAAGATATATATATATATGTATATGATATATATATATATATGTATATGATATATATATATATGTATATGATATATATATATATGTATGTATATATGTATATGATAATATGTATATATATATATGTATATATATACACATATCCCCAGCAAATGCTAGGATAGAAGACATGAGAGTTTTGATCTGTTTTGGGGACCAACTAAGTCTGGTAAGTGGCAGCCAAACTGCTTCTGTATCATGATTCCCGCGTGGATGATTTTCGTCTTATTGTATCTATTTCAAGACGTTCTTCGGTTCAGTAGCACCGCGGTGGATGACTCGATCTCCAAATCCCCCCATGGATGATCCTTATCCTTAAAGGGGTTGTAAGAAGGCAAAGTCAATACTCTTACCAACTCAGTTTTAACTGGTTTTTCGCATTCACATTGTACTGTAAAATTGGACAGACTTGGGGATGGCTTATGAAATTTGGTTTGCATTGTCTGTATAATTGGGTTTGCATGTCTATTATTTCATTGGGTTCTTATTGTGATGTTGGTTTCATTACAGTTTTATACATTCTGTTTACTTCTGTTTACTACATTACAGTTGTTTTCATCACAACCCAAACGTAGTGACTCCCCTTTGGTATTCAAACATGGCAATGGAAAACCCACCATTTAGTTCGATGAGTTCCCCAGCTATAAACCTCCATGGCTAGTTCAGGCATTTTCCAGCTAAATGCAGGGTTGGATTTTTTTTGGTGAAAGTCCAGTCGTTGGATGGTCCCCATCTTCTTCACATTTGAGGAGTGGGCCTGAGGCGTGCCGCTTTAACCCATCCACCAAAACGCCAATTTGGCACACAGATGGGACGTACCGTTTGCGGCCACCCACCGGTTCCATGTTGTAGCTGGGTTTTAGATGGCCTCCAAGAAACGGGAGGGCTGGGTTGACACCAAGTCGTCAAGAGATTCATGTATTGCAAAGGAATGGGATTGAGATGGCAATTCAATTTGAGTTTTGATCGCATTGCGGCATAGCTTTCAGATGCCATAGAGACTGGGTCATGGAGAGTTGCAAAGTTTGTATCTCACCGTGGTGGCAGTCCTAGAACATTCCGCTATGGGTTGGATTTAGGTGGAAAGAAACCATGTTGGACACAGCCTGCATGGGTTTGCTTCAACACTGGGTAAACAGATTGCGAGGTGGGCAAGATTGACATGTTTCTCCATGTTTATCCTTCACACATCCCAAAATCTGCGACACATATCATGACTTTGAGATACAAGATGCTATAGATAGAAACATATGGAAACACCATGAAACACACATGGCCTTGAAAAAAGGAGGGGCTGACAATCGACTGTTTGACCTGGTGTTCTGAATGTAGGTCCCCTCTGGGGGTCGATCTCGGGGATGCTTTGGCAATCTTGAATTGGTGTACTCCACTGCTCAATCTAAGTATCTAGGCCCAAAACATCTCAAACATATTTAATTATGGCAACATCAGCCTTTCTCGCCGCCTAGGCGTGAACCCACTTTGCTAGGCAATTTTGGATGGAGTAGTAGTCAAGGGAGGCTGCCCACATTGATCCGCCATGTGCCATCGCTTATTGACACGCGGGTGGCAAAGTATTGGCACTGGGACTCCTGCTTTATGTCAATGATGTCAATGCCAGATGAGCAACGCCTCTTCTTTTTTATCATGGGGTTCCCGCCAAAAAGTGATGATTTGCTATTGAATTGGTGTGATCGACACTTGTAAACTTTAAACCAAGAGTGATCATGTGGAAAAGAAATGGTTACCCCTCCAACGAAACATCCCAGGAGTTTGTTGGTTGACCAAAAAGTGCAGGTGTGCCAGTTTGATTCCGTCTCCAGACAGCCCAACTGGCATACAGACGCAACCTTTCGCGAGCGGCCGCCCACCGGTTCGATGTTGTACCTTCAGCATCCTTCAGCTATGACAGCAGCTATGGGGCTGTCTCGAAATGTCAAGGATTTACCAACACCAAATCGACAAAATGGGATACGTGGAACATAAATGGATATGTGGTCTGTTTGGTACCCAGATTTCTGGCGGGATTCACCCCGAAAGTGGCGATAACATGGGACAAATTATGCTCCAGGGATGGAATACACGATTTTGAGACATACCCTACGAGCTGAGTAACCAGAACAGTCACTCAAGGTAGGTCCAAATAGTGGGGAGCCCCAACTCATCCTAGTTTGATTGGTTTTGTAAGAAATCAGACCGTCAAATGGTGGATTTGCTGGGTTTGGCCACCGAAATCACCACATTGACGAAGCCTATCAAAGCATGATTTTGTCATTTTTGTCTGTGTATTCCCATAGTCCGTACACAGACCTGAAGAATAGATCAGTACGTATTCCCCGCCTAACTAGCTAGTTTGATCCAACATAGATAATATCGTTCTTACAGTTATAACCTGACAGAGACCGTTTTCGAACAACCCAAAGTAAGTCCCAGTCCGCAAGTCCCAAGGTATGCGGTCCAAGTACCCCCCGTGGGTGGTGACACCTGCTTCGCGGATGCTTCAAAAGCCTTTACCACCTTGCCGAAAGACACGCAAAGGAGGCCGGAGAAGGCTTGATGGTAAGATGCTGGTGATACAAAATGTGCTTTGCTGTTCAATAAAGTATACGGGATATGATACATGATACTACACGTATATATGAATAATTATGAATTAGAATATAATATATATATATACATATAATTGGTGTGATTCCCCAGGAAACACCGGTGAACCAAAAAACAAACCAAAAATCGGTACCTTACAAAATGCCTGCCCCAAGTTTTATTTCCAGGCACAGATATATACACAGTATGTAGTGGGATTGCACAGATGAAACCGATAGTTGATGGATTCCCGCACCTTGGATGTGGGGTGGCCAGCCACCCTGCAGGTTCCAAGTGATCTAACATCTTAAACATAGAGATCCCGATATCATGGGATATCATGGTGCACACAGTTTAATTTTTCATTTTTTTGGTGGTCCTAAATCGGCCAAAGGAGGTATCGGTTGAAAACCGATGTACATGGTGTCCAGGACAATAGTCTTAAACTTCTTAAACATCCTTCTTTCGCTTGATTCAGTTGTCCAAATCATGAGTTCAAATTAACTCCCAGTTTGGCCCCTTCAACTCCCAATCCAGGTCCTTTCTCTACTGGGTCCCTGGGTCCCTGTCCCTTCGCAGTTGGCCAGGCTTGAAGGTTTGGAGGCGCTCTGTAGCCAGGCTCAATGGGTGAAATATCACAAGATTTCGCAAGAATTGACCAACGGAAATGTAATAGATGTATGACCAATAAGACGGGTTAAGTAAGCTTTATGGTAGATATTAGATATATATATATATACATCTAATCTATCTATCTATCTGATCAGGTTGCCATTTTCTACTTTTATTCCCCACCTGCCAGGTGAGGGTCTCTAGATTCTATCAGAGTTACTTCCTCCTCCTTCCTCCACCTCCTCCAGCTCCTCAACTGCGAGCTCCAAACAGCAGTGGGCACTGCTGGACCTCAACCGCGAACTCCAGATCTCAGTGGGCACTGCCAGACCTCAACCGCGAACTCCAGATCTCAGTGGGCACTGCCGGACCTCATCCGCGAGCTCCAGATCTCAGTGGGGACTGCCGGACCCCAACTGCAAGCTCCAGATCTCAGTGGGGACTGCCGGACCTCATCCGCGAGCTCCAGATCTCAGTGGGGACTGCCGGACCCCAACTGCAAGCTCCAGATCTCAGTGGGGACTGCCGGACCTCATCCGCGAGCTCCAGATCTCAGTGGGACAATACACGTTTTGTAGTGGAAACCCTTAATATTATTGGTGCCCATCGAAATTTCCACCCAGCATGGTTAACGGATGTTAACGGGCATTTACACTGCAGAGCGTAACCTTATTGTAGAAATATCGCTAAAAAAATGGGATACGTTCAGGGATATTGGGATATATGAGAATCATCACATATGACCGACAAACATGAGGAGAAGCGCCAGTAGACTCAACATTTATCGGGGCTGCCCCAATTTTTTTTGAGTCAATTTCTGGGAATGTTCAGGCTGGTTTGCGGATTTGTGACTCATGAGAATTTATTGGCTTATCTGGGCATGCCATGTAGTTTGTGAAGCATGTCCCTGGCAAGGCTCACCATGATGCACTTCACAATGTGAAAAAACCAGGCGCTCTGGCACCTTTAGGTCTTGACAGCAGGAGATTTTTTTCAGCCTGGGACTTCATCTGTGACCCTTTTTTGACCCGTTGACCGGGCATGGGCATTGGTCAATGGTTGTTCACATCCCCAAATTCCCAAAACGGTCTTTTCTTTTCAGTTTTGGGATCTAAACAACGAGATGCCAGGGTGAAACGAGTGACCTCAGGGGCCCATGTCGCAATGTCAGTGATGCACTCTGTGCAGTGCTTTGCGAAAGGCACCTATGTCTTGATGAACGCTGAGCAGCGCGCAAAGATGCCTTTGATGCTTGGTGAGTTTCAGATCTTCTCTTCAGAACCGGTGTTGAACATAGAATTTACACGTTTAGGGTAACATTTGTGGGTGTTTTTGAAAATAGGGCACCTCCAAAATCCCATGGATTATCATCATGTCCAATATTGACCCATATTTTCTCACCGAAACAATTTAAAATAACATTCGCGATCATACAAGAGGTTCAATCCCTCATTTTCAGACACGTCAATCTTTTGGTCGTTGAAATCAGGATGGCGGTTCCATTGGTTCTCACCCACCCTGAAACAAAGCGAAAGTCTCTCTATGGAACCTTGGCGGGTTTGTTGAGTCGGTGATTTCTGATTTTCCCAGTGGGGTTTCCCACTACTTGGGGTATCTCTAGGGAATATGAACTATGCTTGTTTTTTTTTTGGGTCCCACTTTTCGCAAATCCAAGTGTTTGTGGTGAAAGGATTGCTCGACAAATTTGGACGATCTTGTGGATGTCTTCCGGTGGATGGTCTATTCTATCTGATGCCATTTGGGGGGGACACCTGCCTTTTCTAATATTCGTGGATCCGCGTAGAGCAAAGTGGACTCCTTAGTTTGTGCCGGGGCTAGCCAAAGATCAACGATGATTTCCCTTGATTAACAAGAAAAACTTGCGACCAAACCCAAATCGCGGTTTGGCCCCCAAAACAACCATTTTGCTCAAACAACGCAAATTTTACCATTTTTCCTAGTTGCACACGTAAGACCTGATCTGTTTGGATTGCCCACATGAAAACAGACAACGACTAGGACGGATGCCTTGAAGGGTACCCAACCTCTTGAAAGATCCATGCCAATGATTTTGTTTTTGGTATTTCTTGCTCATGTGCATGTTCGTAAAGAACACCAGCATCTTGGCGGATGTTTTTTCCGCACGTTATTGGTTCATAGTTTCGGATCCCTTTTTCTTTGGTTGTGCACTTTTGTTTCTTCAAATTCAGCTTTCACCCTCTGTTAAATCCTCATTTTAGTTGGGTAAATCCTTCTTTCTGATGATTACTTTACAATTTTCAATAGATTCCATCCTGATTATTGCTGGTGCTACTAAATCCCCATTTTTGCTGGTCAAATCGTTATATACAGTGATATTTGCTGGTGAAATCCAACATTTCCTTGGTTTAACCCCCCATCCTTGAGGCGCCAATAGCAGCGTCTTTCTGATCCAACCGCTCAACTCTCCTGCTCCGTTAACGGAACTTCTCAATCGTGCGGAAGGTGCTGAGGCCGGCCAAAGGAGATTTGTTTGGTGCTCTGGATCTCATGGTGATTCCATTTTTGGAAAAAACATTGGGAATAAAAGTGAGGATACAAAATGGTATATTTATGTGATGATATGATATTTGGGTGTGTCGGAAAATAGGGGATTTATACTTATACTTGTACCAGTACCACCCAATTTATGGCCGTTCTAATAGGATGATGATTGGTCTGTGGATGTAGGGGTGCCCTAATTTTTGGCCGAACTTGAGAAGATTTGGTTGATTTGGTCAATGTTGAGTATTACACAAAATTTTGCGCCATGGCCACATGTCACTACGTCACACTGTGGATTTGTAGAATGTTTGGCCCGATTGCACCAACCACAGGATTCTACGGAAGGGTTTTGTGAACAAATTATGGCGGATCCCGCAAACAAGAGAAACTATCAAGAGAAGTGGGACAAGACATGAGAACACCGACATCAGGAATTTCCAAAGAAACATTTACCATCCAAGATGGGGTTGTCAGCCAGGCCTTTGAAGATCCTTCAGTGGATCGAGAACTTCGATCCTTGCTTCCACACGCTACAGGAGTGGAATACGAAAAAGGGATGCTGGGCTTCTGGGGAGAGACTGGATGGAACTTGGGGTTTCTTGATGGTTTTTGTTTGTGGATAGAATATACATGTACAAATATGTGTGTATATATATTGATTATATATGTATATTATATGCGTATATATGTATGTATATAGACACACAGTATATATTTAGATATGATTATATACACAAATATACCGCTATCAAGATTTCGAGATGGGTGTGCCAGCCACAGAGTTAAACATGTCAAAATTGGTTCGCTTTTCATGTCCAAAGATATTGAAGGAGCCGCTTAGACACCCAGATTTCACCAAAAACAATGGGTACCCTCCAGTAAACGAACATAGCTATGGAAGTCACGATGTTTAATAGGCAAATAATCTACAAATGGACCATTTTCCATAGCTATGTTACTGAAGTGTAGCCACGGTTTGTATACCTCGAAGTCAGCAATGCTGGGGGTACCAGCATAGAGACTTGAAGCATGCGTGGATACGATGAAGCTGAAACTGCGACAATACCAGACAAAGCTAAGTATTTCCTTTGAACACTTTGTATTTTTCCAATCGCAAACTTCCATAACTATCAAGCCTGACCTAAAGTCCAACCTCGGTGGTATGCAAACATGGCAATGGATCCCCATCTACGTCCATTTTTTAATTCGGCGACTTTCCAATGGGGATTCCAGTGCTATGTTTGACTGGAGGGTGCCAGGACCTGACTTTGTGGTACGGTGGCACTGGAACGTTGGCGACTTGGTCATTTGGGACAACCGATGCACCATGCATTGTGCCACAGGCAGGGGAGTCATGGAGGGTGGAACATGGATTTGTGGAGATTGGGTGACCTTAAGGTGCAATGACCTGTGGTTGATGCAGAAGGGAGATTCAGGTGTTTTTTCACAGTACACTTGGGCCAAGCAGGACTGTCGACCACAGAACCGTTGTTTCGAATATTGGTTCCATGAGGATCACAAACAGCTCCATGCCTGCTGTTTTTTCGTTGTTTCCCGAAGGATTTGATCACGAGACCTTCGTGAGAGAGATGTGGCGCACCACATTTCATGACATGTCCTGGCAGCCACCAGTGCGCAAAGTACCTCGAGAGTGAGAAAAATCGAGGCGGCCACGCTTGCTTAGTGATTTTGCCCGACATCAGCAAACGTGTTTTGAAAATTCCTGGGGCTGATCCATTGTGCTGAAAGCATTCGCAGCTACTTTAGGTTGAAACATGGCAACAATCCGAGTCGCCCCATGGAAATTGGAAACTGCGTGCAATCTCATTCCAAAAGGCATATAAAATCATATAAACACTATAAATATGGGACCAAATTTTTGATGTCTATTGCAACACTTGCAGGCAGCAGGGTGGGATTTTCTGAGGTCAAATGGCACTTTGCTGGAGGACCCTGTCGAAAACATCAAGCCTTAATGGAGATAGTTCAATTCTAACAGTGACCAGTGGAGCGAAAATGCGCTCATAATAGGTTGGCCAATTTGAAAACCCCAATAACTGACGTATACCGAGATAGAAGATTCATGAACACGCGTTTTCTATGTTCAGCGGGCGTTTTCAGTGAACCCCTTGGTGTGGCTCCTTGGAATATCAGTGGGGCTGTTGTCGTCCTGTCGTCCTACAGGAGGGTCTCATTCGTTTGGGTTTTGGCGCACAGCCAAGCAGCCTCATGTTGGGATGCTCAGAAGATCTGTGTCGCAGTGCCTGGCAACTGCCCCACCACATTATTTTACTTACACATTAGATGGTCGAAGTATGTCCCAACATTAGTTTGAGGAAAAAAGTGCAGAACAAATAAAACAATAATGATATAGCTATATTTATATTCATCTATGTGCTTATATAATCTTATATATACATACACAGTATATATACATATATACACACATATAGAGTATCAATAGAATTAATCATATACATAGAGCGTTTTTCAAAGACCCACCTTTTTTTCGCGACGTGTCCGAGGTCGGTTCACGTGAGCTCCGCCTCATTGGCCCTGCTTCCAAAGGCACGCCATGGCCGTCAGGCAGAGGTTTCTTTATCCCTTGAAAAATGACGGTTTTCCAATGGGAAATAGTGTTCTTCTTTTATAATTTATAGTTGGACATGATTTGGTACAGATTTGTGTGCAGTTTTTCTTCCTCGACATCTCGATCTCGAATTTATGGGGACACCCAAGCGGCTGAAAATTGAGTTCGCGTGCTTGAAGACCCCCAGAGGAATGCAGCACTTTAAATCCTTCAAAAAAAGATTACACGAAAGATGCATTGTCCATCATGGCAAATGTACAGCTGGACAGTTCCTTCCAGGAACATCGATTTATGGTTGGTCTATCCAACAAAAAATCCCTGCAGGAACGACAGCATAGCTATGGGCCCTTGCAGGCCCTGGGCTTGGCAATATCAGGAGTTTCATGTCCTAACAAAGCGGAAAATTCATGGTATTTATATATACGTATATATTATATTAAATATATATTATATATACATGGATTATATATATATTATACACTATATTTATTATATATATATATTACATAAACTATATATTACATAAACTATATATATATTACATAAACTATATATATATATTATATTATATATTATATATATTATATATATATTATATATTATATATATATTATATAATATCTATAAATATTATATATATTATATATTATATATTCTATATCTATATTATATTATATATATATATATTACATATCTATACTATATATTATATATATTATATTATATTATATATTATATTATATATTATATTATATTATATTATATATTATATTATATTATATATATTATATTATATATTATATATATATTATATTATATATATTATATATTATATATATTATATTATATATTTTATATATTTATATATTATATATATATTATATATTTTATATATTTATATATTATATATATTATATATATATTATATAATATATTATATATAGAATATTATATATTATATATATACTAGTATACTATATATATATTATATATATTATATATTGTATATATATTATATATTGTATATATATATATATATATTATATGTATTATATTTTCTTTTATATTATATATATATCATAATATATATAATAATATATATATATTATATTGTTTATATTATATATATATTATTTTATATTATATATTATATATGTCATAATATATATGATATAATATAGTATATATATATTATATGATATATATATATAATTACATTATATATATATATGTTATATATGTATATATTATATATAAATGTATGTATCATCATAAATCATCATATTCTCTTTGAAAATGGGCATTTGGGAGTATAGCCCATTTATTCAGACACGGCCGAATTCGCCTTTGAAGCACGGTAAATGACTGGAGTCGCTCTTCCTCCAACATGATTTTGGATGCTTGGGCCCCCTTTATATTTGGCACCCTTCCGTCTCTCGAATGTCTTCACAAATAGCTTTGTCCCAACAAAAATCGGGTGCCCCAAATTCTTAGCGTTAATCATCATGTTCCCATATTTTCATAATTTTTCATATCTTTTCCCCATTCAAATGGAGCTTTCCTAAAATTGGGGTACCCTCTGGTAATTTAACATAGCTATTGAAAATGGCTATATATTTATAGTGGATTTTTCCATTAAAAATGGTGGATCTTTCCATAGCTATGTTAGTTTACCAGAGGGTACCCCGCTATAGCTGGGTTGTGCTCCCATGATGACTCAGTCGCAACTCCTCTTCACCGGAGTCGAGTTTGGCGGCGCTGGGCGGTGCCATCCTACAGCCTCTGGGGTGTGGGGATTTGGGCCTGTTTCAATGGTGGGTTTTTCCCCATGAAACTAGGCGTTTTTTAATGGGGAAGATGGATGATTTAATGGGGCAAATATGGATATTCAGCGCATCATTTTCAGAGAATTTCTAGTGAGATCCATGGCAACTCATAGTAACTGGATGATTATGGCTGCCATTTGATGATGAACAAGTATGAGGGTGGCAAGTGATAGATGGTTTGGATGATCGAGATGTCAAGAATCATCGCGCCATCAAAGATATGACACAGCCAATCTTGTGAAGTGGACCATTTTATGTATTTGTTTTGCGCGACACCACATTTCGTTTGGTTTTGTCTCGTGGCTTTTATGAAGTATGTCCTCTTGTCCTCGAAATTTGGTCAGGATTTTTAAGGAGAAAATGTCTTTTTCCTCGAACTGCAGGCAGATCCACTCAATGGGCATGCATGTCAGATTGTGAACGCTATCCGACAGCAATTCAATCTCCAAATCAGGACTTGGCATGACTTGACCAACTACACAAGTACAGTCAGATGGAACAAGGTCTTGTGGATTGAATTGTCGAGGGATGTCCCACAAATTGTAAGGAGTTGGCGCAGGCATCTATACGAATCATCTAGCATCATCTATCATTATCTTCTATCATCTACCATCATCCCATCCATCATTGAACATAATTCAGTATAATCCATCATCATTGAGCATTTCTTGAATTTGGTTCTAGAGGGATTTTGATGTCATAAATCTAGCATAACATGCAGATTGAACAAGCGATCTTCTGCTTGCGACGTGTTGTTGCCATGGTGCGGATCCTTCTGTGCGGCGATGTGAGGGGGGATGTGCCGAAGCTTTGTAGAGCTGGCTGCAATAGACAACCTGGGGTTGTTGGGAGTTATACGTATATATTATATATAAATTACATGCAATGATGGATGATCATTTGATGATATTTATTAGAATTGTTCATAATGGTTGATGCATGTTGATATGATGGTGCATACAATATGAATATAATGGATCATAATGGTTGATATATTATACTAATATGCAATGATTGATGATATATGATACACTGATATACTTGTTGATCAAATTTGATACATTTGCTGATATGATGGTGAATGATCATTGCATTGGTTGATATAATGGTTAATAATGATGGATTACATCCCATATTACTGGTTAACCTGTGTTTGCGCATAGTGATTGTCATTTTCCCAGTGGGAAATTAGTGGGAAATCCACTACTTGGAAAATCTATACGGGGTATATACACAATATATAATAATATATACTAGATACGTATATTATATATATATGTATATATATATGCTTGCTGGAGAGAGGGCCTTGAAGTTAAACTAAGCATATCCGGGAATACATCATCTGGGGGTTTCTTAAGTCATGGGGGATCCCAGACTCACCATGGTTGTTTCAATACGATTTCATGGTCATCCATGACATGGATGATTTGGGGGTACCACCATGTTAGGACACCATGTATATACATATATATTATATTATTTATATAATACAATATGGATATGATATATTTAATTGAGGATGATGGTAAATAAATCCTATCAACTTGAGATGATCATGGTTTTCAGCATATCTTTGTGAGCCACCGCCTAAAATCTTCTTGGCCACACCCCTGAAACTACTCGGGCAATCTGCATATATGCATAGATGTAGATTGTAGATGCATAGTAACCCCAGACAGATATAAATGTGAAATCCTCTAGTGACTCTAGTGATAAATTACTTTTCTATGTGTTGAGTGCGCAAGCAAACTTATCATTTTTTGTTGGATTCTGCTCACTTCAACACCGATGGCTGCTTTTCAAGCTCCATGAATCTCAGACCCGTAAGCACATTAACACATTTTTGGTTGCATCATCATGATATGCTTCAGATGCAAGCTGAGAGCTGATGATTAACCATCACTTAAAAGAAAAACATGGTGGACTTCACCCATGAAACCTGACATTCACATGCGGAATATCTGTTCGCTGTAGACAGGCAAGGCAGTGGAGGCCCTGCAAAGGAAACTTCCTGAGGTCGGGGGAACAATGGGAACTCAGGGAACTGGAAGCCACGACTGGTTTACTTCGATGATTTATCATGATGGATCCCGTTTTGAAACATGGTGATGTTCCAGTTCGCCATGAGATTCATGTTGAATTACCAGAGGGTAAGCGTAACTTATCTCATTCTTAACCCAGCTGCCGAATCTCTGGCTCCAGGATCAGAAGTTTCAGGCGGTTTTCTGTGTGGGCGAATTCAGCGCGGAAGAAATGGATCTTGAAGTGTGTCTTGTCTTTACTTGTCTTCACCATCTTCACCCTCCTTTCAAAACATCAGCTACAATTGGAAACCCTGGAAACGATTGTGGAGAGTATGTTGTCTCAATCTGAAGATAAAGCCTTTCCAGATAGCATAGTCAAGTGTATAAGTGTATAAGTTTTCAGTTGACGGCTGGGGCAACGTCAGCTCCATCTTGCACCACAGATCGCAAAGCTGATGCCCAAACTTCCTTCAATGATTTGGTACTTGCAATAAACAGAGATCAAGTATGCTAGGACACTCCCAGACTCCCAGCAGTATTTGGGGCGCAATAGGTTTGTTTTGGCGATACATCTAGGGGCCTTTTTAGGTTCAGGTAGCAGTTGCTTCCATTGATGGTTGATGACCTAGCCTATTGCGAATCATCGGCAACGGGTCAACCGAACAAAGACGTCCAACACACTGACACAACATGTTATTGATCCATTTGATCCACTTATATCCTGATCGATCTTGACACGCACCACCATCCAGGTACCACACGGCAACTTTGCACTTTCTGCATGATCCAGCACGATAACTCTTGAATTGAGCTACAGTATGTTTGACTACTGGAACTTTTGAAGCTTGAGGTTGTGTATACAATTTACATTTTTTGAAGCAGAGGGCTTGTGCCAGAGCCATGCAATGTGTTCAGGCATGCTTTGCCCAAACAAGGCAACCATCTGTGCCGATCTACTTTATCGACTGTGGACCTGCTTGCCAGGACTTTCCGTGGCGGAGGAGATGCTTTTTGTAAAACTCACAACCACGTGCTATATTGGATTTACAGTTGTCTTGCAACATGTTGGCAGTTCGTTTTCAGGCTGAAAAGTAACATAGGGGGAATGCTGGTTTCTTGCTTTTAGGCTTGTCAAGGCAAACCGAAACAACTTGAAGCTGGACCCACTCATATAGACCTACTTGAAACATTTTACCTCTGGGTGCTGCATATTTCTGTCTCTTTTCCTTTGGATTCCTGGAGTTGTTCAATGTACCACTTCGTTTTGGGTCAAATCGCCCGGACACTCCACAATCTGCTGGTATTCCGAGGGTTCATACTCATACTATAACTTTAAGAACTTTACATGAATTTACTATAATACTATCAAGTAAAGAAGACCCAGGATTTTGCTCTTGAGTTTTCACATGTTCCTTTAGCCATCCCCAGACAAGGGGGGTTTTCACAATCTGAGCAGGATCTCATTGAGGAATCCCCTCAAGGCGTGGCTTCATTGGTCGCTGGGATCTAGGGCAATTGGTTGGTTATTGTCATTTATTGTCTTACCATGTACCCTCTGGTTGTTTAACTTAGCCATGGAAGCCATGGCCCATTTAGTTCGGTGATTTGTGATGATTTACTTCTGTAAACAAATCTGGAATTTCCAGTTTGATATGTGAAGTTACCAGAGGGTATTATCGCTCTATGAATTCGCATGTGTTATCGTGTTTATGCCTCAGAAGTGAAGCTGCCATTGCTGCAGGCGACGAGGTGGCGCCAAAGGTTCACTTCCTGGGGCACTTTGGTGTCGCTTCGCTGGCTGGGCTCAAGGCATGGCCAGGGATCTCCCATGGCTGAGATCCCCTAGCGGAGGTTTTAATCGGAAAATCAGCTATATATGATACCCTCTGGTTATTTAACATAGCCGTGGAAAATGGCCATTTATAGTGGATTTACCCATAAAAACCTCCATTTATAAGGGATTTTCCATGGCTATGTTAAATAACCAGAGGGTAGACTTTCCATTTCCATGATTGCCGAAGGGTAAGTCTGAGAGGGAGACCGGTGCTTGTAGCTTCGCCCACATTCTGTTGAGGCACAAATTGAGGCACACATGATATCGATATTCACAGCTCAAGAAAGGACTCAGCCACCCACGACATCAGAACGACCCTAGCGGCTAGGCCCTAGCGCCCAGACCCTGGCGCACAATAGTGACATGCTTGCTATCAACAAAATATCATGAACTGATTGCTGGATCTACCAGACACTAGAGTTAGATGGTTAGCATATGTTAGCATCAACATTTTTCCTTGGATGCCTTCGATTTAGCTCTCATTGCTTGGTGATACTGCAACGTGTGCGTGACTGCAGCTATGCTGAAGGGAAATGAAGGGACAGCCTGAGCGTCCCAGTAACATGGATCAATTAGGAGAGGACCATCGATTGGTGGCGCCTTTGACTCTAGTTGTTACAGGTGAAGCATCAAGTATGTGTGTGTTTCCTAAAAATAGGATTCCTCATTTTCATTTCATTTTCTCCATTGACTTTTCCCCTCATGAAACATGACAATGGAAACAATGATCATGACTTGGAGTGCCCATGGGTGCCCCATGATTTAGGAACCCACCATATAGCAACAATCCAACTGCTTCAATGGTTCTCAGCGTGATTTGCGCCTGGTTACGGAACGACCTGCGAGTGCATGATTCTCTAGCTGCTTGTCGTGTGAGCAAGGCTGGGGCGATCCCTGGTGGTTGGCGAAATATTGGGATTTCACCAGGCTTTAAGCACCAAACATCAGGTCGCGCCAAGCAGCGTTCACTATGAAAAATGGATAAAAATGGAGGTTTCACGAGATCTAACATGACAGCATCGAAGAAGGGGTTAGGCCTAACATGTTTTAACCATATTCAACCATCAAGAATGGGCTTTAGGAAATATAAACTCCTTTTCCACTTTCCAAGTCATCTACATCGCTTTCAGCAATTGGTCGGTCTCCTGTTTGATACCTCCGCCCTCATTTTTGGACACAGAATTTCTGCTGCGATGCGGAGATGGCCTAAGCTATTGATGGTTTCCGGACTTTTGTTTCCATGAGCATAGATGACACACGTATACAGTAAACATGTTTTTTGGTATTTGTTCTTATACCTTCTGAATCCTTCTGATGAATTTTGATGATTTCTGGTGATCTCGCCATTTCTGTTGGTGAGATTCCTATCGATTCCTTGTCATTGAACAATGAGGTCCTCAGCCGCGCTGCACAGTTGTCCAAAGAGCAGAAATTGCCGGTGCTGCCTGTGCCATGGCTGCCTTGACTCGCCCAAAAGTGAGTCCCAATCTATGATAATTTGAGTATAAATGGATCAAAACCAGAAGTTGCCCCACTTGACTTATCCCATATCATATATGTATATACGTATAGCAGCTATATACAATATTAATCAATATTATACAATCGTACTACTATGCTATGTATATTCATTTATGATTTTCATAAAGCTATATGTAAGGTCAAACATTTGGGTTGAAGATCAGAGAAGTGGATCATTGGATCAGGGCCATGGTGACAGTTCGCCCCTTGATCCAGTGGCACGGGTCAGCATCGGGTCCGCGAAATTGATGGTTGATACATATCTTTGGGGTTGAAGTAAAACCCATATACATAACCCTAATTATATATATAATCCATAAAGTTTGGGTAAAAAGTTTTGGGGTGCACCCAAACTCTGAATTTTTGTTTGGGTCTGACAACTGATATTTTGACTCCAGAGCCACATATGTCACATGGTTCTTTTCGTCGCATTTTTTTCGACGACGACGACGGAATGCAAGGTCTACTTCTTTGACCCGCGACAGTTCCAACAAACCAAGTTTGGGACGCTGAAGACGGGTGCCTTTCGCGCCCTCTTCCTCCTTCAATCGGTGCGAGTGTTGAAGCGCCGATTGCGAGCAATCGGTTGCTTGGCATGGAAACATATAGAAAATTGTTCAAGAGAACTTCTGTTTTCTTTTTGGTATTTACTCCGTACCATTTTAAGAAGAATCAAGCCACACGTGTCAATCTTTCAGTGGTCACTAGTGGATGGTGTGCCCTGATCTTGCAGTTTAGAGTGGCCAAGATAGCAGAAATGGATTGGTTGTGGTGCGTTACCTAAGCAGTTGACCATAGCCGAGTGACATGCAACGCGGAAGAAGTTCTGAATCGGGACTTGAGGCTCCGATCTCTTGATCCAGGTTGGAAAACCAGAGGCGAACGGCTGCAGTTCGGTGTGATTTCTGGGCTGTTTAGCTTGTCCAGCTGAGTCCAGCTTGACATTTCTCAGGGACTCAAGTGTTTGGACTGCTTTGAACAGGTGGAAACAGCAATTTTGTGATGTCGCCTTGGGCTTGTCCTATAGGATTTTACATCTTGAAAAAATGGAGAAATGATGCAAACACAATATACACAATGGAACTGAAACAATGCAATTCTGAGAGAGGCAAAAATGAGAAATGAAGAACACATGCGAAAAACAGGGGAAACAGACCAGGGACCAACTGGACAAACATGATTCTAGAAAAAAAACATGCGAAAACACAGCCAAAAAATGCCGAAACAGCTTACTGAAGGTAAGCAGTGTTTTCCCATGTTTTCCTATTTCTTTAAAATTCCAATTAGATGGGAGAGAATGGGTGATCTTGTGTTGGTTGAACATTTCATTTTCTCTGAGTATACTGAGTATAAATGATCTTCCTGAAAAAATATATAATGGCGCACGTTACCCCCACGTTATTCCAATCCCCATTACACTGATTACCACAAATTATCCTAATCACTCACAGCCCTGCTGCAGCTGCTGTGGTGCCAAGAAATCAAACGAAGCCTACTATCAAATCACTCGCGAAAAGGATGAGCCAGGCCAGCTTTGAACTTATGGCAGTTCACCGACAAGATCTTTGGCTTGTACAACCGACTTTTCGAAGCTAGCCCAGGGCGGTGGCAATTTCTCCCACAGATTTCTATTCGGGCTTGGGCCACTTGGGCTTGTTTGCCACTGTGTGCACTCAGGTTGTCCGTGAAGGTGGGGATCATGGAGATCCCCCTAAACATCACCTCTTGGCAGCCAGGGATAGCCCAACTCAGCGCGTGGCAAGTGCCTCCAGTGGCAGCCGTGCCCACTGGGAAAATTTGAAACTTGCGGCTCCGCGAAGGTGCATCGCTTCGCTCGTATAATATGGGACCGCTCTCAATCCAACGAGCTTCAGAAAGGGAAGAGGTATGATGTGATTTCAAACATTTGAGCAACACACTGATGGGATCCAATTTGAATGGAAGTTGAGAAGAAAGTGACACCCGCGATTGCTGTGGGACGGGCTGTTCCTGTCCTTCGTCTTTGTCTTCGCGCTTGTTCTGGTGTATAGTGTTTCGATCTCCTGTTTCTTATTCTATAGAGGGCCTCTTTTGGGGTTTTGGAGCAAATGTCATCGAGATGGTGGTTCTGATTCTATAGGGGGTAAAATTTTGCCTCTTTTCAGGCTGCTTTTAATAGAGGGTGCTTTTTTGTTATCAAATTGAGAAAGTAAAAAGAACCCTGCTTTTGAAACAGTTTTTTCTGATCCTGGAGTCCTGGACCAGTGCTAAGTTTTGGATACTTTTGGGGTGATTTTTCTGTGTCCCACCATTCCTGAAATCATCTCAAATAATTAATCAAAGTAAAACATTTTATATTGAGATTTCTTTGGACATGATTTTAAAAAAATAGGAAACGTTCAAAAACCAACAAATTGCACTGAGAGTCTGGTGAGCACAGGGTTCCTCCCACATTCTTCACAGCATGGCCTTGAAAGGCCCCAGGTCAAAACGTAAAATATGAATAAATATGGTAGATATCAATGGTTTTTGATGGTTTTTGATTCATTGTTTTAGACCTTTTCGTGGTTTTTTGATAATTTTCCAAGGAATTTGAGGGCTATGTTTAACATCAACAGCCAGCTATCCCCCTGGAAAAGCAGCCCCCACACCCTCTATAAAATCAGGAGCCCACAAAAATCCAGCCCTGATATACCTTCGATTCCATTATGGCACCTTTTACTCACATCCCGTCACCTTCTCCCAGTGGGCCAGAACCACCGTTGCTTACTGGTCAAATCATGTCAAGTCATTGTGAGGGGGAACAAGTGTTAAACCTGATCACGTTTAGTTGCCAAAAACAATCATTTTTTTGAGATTGCTATTTTTTGAATTCTTCCAAAAGCAACACCAATGTTCTAAACACGCGTGGGGTAGTGGTTGATTGAACCCCATCCAATAAGCAGACCGAATCCGCTTCTTGCATCTTCGGAGATTTGACATTTCTGCTGTGGGAGGAACTTTTGCCCAAGCTTCTGGACAAAAAATCCATTGTGTTGACCCAGGACCCTATGGGGTTGAAACTTATGCCGGTGGTGTTGGAACAATGAGGATTTGACCATCCATAAATGGAGATTTCACCAGAAATTAGATACCTGGATTCTTGTAGCCCCCAACAAAATAAAAAACAATCCCACTGAAATAGTGATACTGGAAAATCACGTTTCTCTTCTTGGGGGGGATTGCTATATATATTTGGGATTTCACGCCCATTGTATCCATTCGCAAGTTATTTCGGGTTTCCCCATTGCCGCATTAGATTGCCTCAGGGTAGCAGTCGTTTGCCTCAGTTTCGCGTTTTGCAGTTGTTTGAAAATGTTTGAAATATCCAACACATTCAGATGCTTAATAACATCATCACGGTTGTTAGTAGAACAATGAAACGCTTTCTAACAAAATCACCAAATCTTGGAAGGTGGGTAGAAACCACCACTATGTCACTATTGGGAGAAACTATGAAACAACATTTGGAGGTTTCCTAATATATATATATGCATCCATTAATATCCATCCGTTTCCTAAAATGGTGGTGTATATATATAATTATATATATATGGATATATATATATGGATATATATATATATATGCAATGGAAATACATGTTTGTGCTTAGGATTGACCAGAGCGTATTGCAACTGTACCTCTTTGCATGTGTGAAGAATTTGAAATTGCACTTGGCAGTCATGTCCTTCATCCATGCCAATCTCATAGCCCATGGTGGTGTTGGGTACATATCTGTAACGGGGTGCAATCACTGCACACGCCGCAGCCAGGCTAGGACACGCAGGCTGTGGAAGGGGTTCCTAGCCAGAAATACGGAGCATGGGGCTGTACTTTGTTTGCAGTCACCGTTCCCGCAGACAAGGACCTACATGAAAAGCAGTGCAACACCATTTCGTTTCATATGGCAGCCAGGCCGCTCAACTCGAGATCACACATATGTGCATGCCAGGCTGTTTCATCTCTTTTCGCTCCCTAGCCTTTCTCGCACGCATGGAGCTGCAGCAATTAAAGGGAGCGCTGGCTGAGAACAAATGCAGCTGCCGGGTTCCACCAATTTGAACGCGACAGTGCCTCTGCGAGTATGGGTCGGAAGGTCCGCCAACAAACGGGTTGCCCGGTGGCGGCGGCGATGGCGGCTGCGCAGGGGTAAGCTACAAGATGCGGATCTGTTAGCCCTGGACACTTTGCGCACCAGGGCTGGGCAAGTGGGCGGTTTTGCGGCCTCATTTTTGGGACCCTTGTGCGTGACAGAAACAGAGGCCGGAAGAAGTGGGGGCACACTTTTTGGGTGCCAGATTCTAGGCTCTGTTTCGGGGCCCCAAACCCTTCCTTCATCAAGGTTTAATCCCGTGCGTTTGGGTCCAGGTTCCTCTCCCACCGTGCCCTGCGCCAATGGCAGGTGACGGTGTTCTGGCTGACTTTAGCATATTTGAAACAGAAGCATGAGAGCAGCGGCAAGAAGGTGCTGTGACCAATATGCTCTACAGCCCAAAATGTCCTCGAGGATGCCTAGTTGCAAAGGGACAGTGGCAGGGCGAGCGCCCCGCACACCCGCACAGGTGCTGCATTGGTCCAACCACTTGACGGCTTTGCTGTCGCAGATTTCAAATTATGGCTGAAAAGAAAATACCAGGAACTACGTCGAGCCGACCCTGACGGCCAACCTCAGCTCTGAGCATGGTTGTTCCACTTGAGCCATGCTGATTGTGGTTTGCAGCCCCAAAGTGGCAACGTTCCTTTCATGGCATTGGTGCCGGGCGTCGCAGTTACGTTCCAGGCTTGCTCAGTTCATGAACTGCCTGCTTGTCCTGAGCCCGTGCAACCGAAGCCACTAGAGTTTGGGGTGGTGCGGCCACAAAGGCCCAAGATGCGCTACGCTTAAGCGAGCTTGCCTGGATTGTGCCCTGGGAAGCGCAACAGCTGCCTGCAAGTAGACATTGAGATGCAACACCATGGGGGCCACAAGTGTGAAGCAAGAAATGCAGACTTTTCGGGGCAGCAGAACTAGTGCCGGGTGATGTCCGTTGTTGCATGCATACTGCTGGAAAAAGGTTTGGCTCTCAGAGGTACCGTGCCAACACACAACTAGCAGCCAACATGTCCGAGTCTGCTTAGCAGGACTGGAGACCACGAGTAACACTGCCAGAGGGGTTTTCGGGCCATTCCCCGTGGATTATGTCAGAGAATCCCTGTTTTACCACAATGGGAAGCATGTTTGCGTCGTAAATCACGTTTTTACAACAATGGCAGCGTTCCTGAAAGTGTGCTTTTGGAGAATATTATTCTATTAATTCTATCTCCCACCGACGTTTCTCAGGAACCCTGTCATTCTGGTGCAGTTTCCGCATCCTCGTATTTCTGGCTGTTCCTGGTCTCCATGTTCCCCCTAGGGGGCAAGTGACATAAGCTTCCTCCCCTGTTCCTGGTGGGTTTTCCGGTGATCCACCTGGCATGACACCATCTCCAACAATTGTTGCTATGTCCTCACACCTATTGTGTGGATAGCTCATCTCCTTTTGGCTTCCACTCTGAAAGCCTATCATGACATAATTCCTGATAATCTGGTCGGTGGCGATTGAGGGATACCTCAGGCTGGCAACAAACAGAGCAGGCAAGACCCGGCCCAGCATGCAAATGGGAGCGAATGGGCTTGAATCGGTGTTTGTTGTCACTTGCACTGAGAAGCTCTATGAAGATTTTTTCAAGTGGCTCCTAGGATTGTACCCTAAAACAAAAGACATACCCAAACATTCGTCGATTCAGGTACCCCGCCGTGACATCTAACATCCTCCTCACATTCATGGCCACCCTAGGTGCTTGACTGAGGCTGTGTGCATTGCTGCGCAGCGAGCCGCAGCAACAGCGCAATCAAGCATTCCCAAAAAAAAAGACCGTTTTTTGCAGGAAACAGGCTTCACAAACATGGGTCCTTGTAATATATATATATATACACATATCCATATATATATATATAAATATCCATATATCCCCCTTTTTTCTCTTTATCCCTCTATATATATATACACATATATATATACATATATATTTACACACATATATATATATACATATATATCCGTACATATATATGTAGAGATATGGAGATTCATTGTATATCCACTGTATCACCATTGTATACCATTATATTCTCATTCAAAAACATCACAATTTTATTTTCAAACCATGAAGATCTCCATCACCGACCATCCTTTTTCCGCCCAGGAGGAAGTGACCTCGGAAGAGCTTCGCGTGGACGCTGCCTTGCGGCAGAGTCTGCAAGCGAATGCTGGATGCGAGGCGAAATGAAACCAGTCGGGACCAACGGAAGGGTCAAACAAAAACCCAATGAAAGATGGGGATTCAGCTGGATAACCAGAAAAAATGGGAGATTTGGGTTTTGGAGATGGCCGCAAAATTTGGGAGATGGCGGCAGGAATTACAATTGCAGAGTTTTTGGGCAAAAGAAAGGGAATTTTCAGCAGGGAAACTTTGGGTTTGAACCAACAAACATTGACCTGCACAATTTGACAAGGACAGCAAATCGAGCATTTTGCACACTGATATTGGCAAATTTCAGTAGCAAATACGAGGATTCCTTCGAATTTTGTTTTTCACTAGCAAAACTGCTGTAAATCACCAAAACCAAGGCTTTCTACGTGGATTTTAAAGTCATCATGGACCCAAATCAAACTCACAAATCCGTCATCAGCCCATCAGTTTTCTCATGGCGAGGCTTTCGAATATTGCTGGGGCAGCACTTTGTTTCACAAAGACGACTTGCCCTTCCAGAAGGATTTTTGGGATCGGTTTTCGGAGTCATCTGGGTCAAATCTTGGAGTTTAGATCGTATTTTTTTTTGGTACCCTCTGGTAATCAAACATGGTTTGCTGGACAATCCACCATGATTTTGTATCATTCAGAAACAAATTTTCGCATTTAAAATTCAATCTCGTTTTGGGGATTTTCCAGCCATGTTTGCGGTTCACGTCAAGGACTTGCGGGATGCCCCGGATGTCTTTACCAGCTTCAAGAACCAGGTGCCACCAAGGGCGCCAATTTTACCTGTAAGGATGGTTGGTTATATGGGTGTACCTGAAAATTTAGAGGGAAACCCACCACATCCACTGCTTAATTGATCATGATCTTGTTGTTCAACTAGCATACTTTTTGAAGGGTATCCCCTTTTTGCAGATTGACCCATTTTGACCCATATAAATTCTAGTGCTTGTGGATGCTAACAGCCAGTTGACCTACAGGGATGGTTGTGTCTGGCTAGTCATGGCAAGCTAAGCAAGAAAAACATGGGAGGTTGCCCATGGACACGCAGAATTGATTTTGGGGGAGGATTTTGAGCAGCCAATTTGGGTGAATCGGTGAATCTCCAAAATCCTTGGTTTCATTCCCAATTCCATCCAATTCCTGTATCATACAGTACATCAATCTCCAAAAGAACCCATGAGTGTCAAACCATCCCATGGGGTGCCCCAATTTTGACCTATCCCAGTGGCTAGATTCAAAGCGACGCCTCAACATCGCTGGTATAGCTGGATGTTCACCTCTCAAGCAGAAAATGATAGGTTTTGACATGTTTTGACCATCCTCAAGTTCATTTCAGAGCGGCGTTAACTCATGTTCAACCACCATTCCTGTTGGCTAAACCAACCTTTTTCTTTTGTCCTGGTAAACCACTAGTTTCACCAGCACTTTGGATGGTAAAACCATGGCAAGCGTTGCCCAGGTCGAGCCGGAAATGGCCGCAAGGGTCAATGAGGCGCGCATGGTCAAGGATGTTGAACCAAGGTGAGGCCCTTGGTTAACTTGGCTTTATTGGGATATAAATGATATAGCTATAGTTAATGGATGTTAATGGGGTTCATAAACCACTTAAAACTGGGGGGCCTCACCTTGTAGTGGGGTTGAATCAATGAAAATGGTAGTTTAAACGGTCTTAGCAACTAAGAATTGGGATGTGCAACAAACATATAGGGTTTCAAGATGTGCAGTCAAGCCATGAATGCAAGACCATGCAAGACTTTCGTACCTCTTTTCATGACTGGCATGGACTTACACATTGAGTTACTACCCGCATGGTATACCTTGTGGTGGAAAAGTGGGCACCTGCGCCTGAGGTGCCCGACACCTTCCGCGGAAACAAGAAGAGTCGAAGTGCTATGGGAGTCAGGCACCTGGGTCTGCGTGGGGTGTGGAATCATGGCTTCAGTAAGCATAATGATGCATACTGTGACCTTCCTTCACACCCCTGAAGAGCTCTTCGCTCCCCGGTTGCCCCTAAGAAGTGGTATGAATGGCTTTCCAATGGAATTCAACCCACTTCCCCAGGCAGTTGTGTTTTCCTGCCACCAGTTTGGCCCCGGCTCCAGGCCCTGTTTGCCGGAGCTGCGCTATGGTGATTTGCCGCTGCCAAGCACCGGCGCCAGCTTGGATTTCGAGCTGATCTTTGAGCCTGAATGGAAGGCGGTGGTTGGGCTGGAAATACACGTCACCAGAGATTCGTTGCTTAGACGATAGGTGAAACATGGTGGACCATGAGAAATCCAATGGCATGTTGTCTGTTTGGCGCGCTTTTTCACAGCCAGCATTTGTATGCTCACGGATCAAGACTTGTTTCTGAAGTCGAAGCGTAGGCAGCCAGGGTTTCAGGAAGGATGTGTTCAGACCACATTGTGTTAGGGGTTGCTGGATAGCATTTCTGGAGAACAAGTGCGTGCTGTGTGCAGTAAGGATTGGGCCAGAGAAGGCAAGCGCTTTGACACATCCATGGTTAAACAAAGGTAAACCGGCAGATGCATCTGAAGGTATCTCTTCAGCAAGCAAGTTTGATCTTTGCAACGAAGCATCAACACACATGATCTTGGAATTGAGTTGTTCTCTATCTACAAGGTATCCCAAGCTATTTGGAGTGGTTTGGTAGTTTGGTACACTCCAGTGACCATTTGGATCCATTGGGAGGTTTCCCAAAATGGGGGTACCCCAAAACCATGGGTTTCAATATTAAAATGGTCTAGGATGGTCTAGGGATGGTCTAGGGACTTGGGTGATTTGGGGGTTACTCCTATTTGAGGAAAGCCCCATTTGAACAAAATTTGGGGCTTCACGGTTCTCCTCGTGCCATGGCTTCCGACGGGTCCTTCGAGTTGCCGCTGCGGAACATCGCCGGCGAGGACTGCGCGCGCCTTCGCGTGACGCCCGCAACGAAGCTGTCGGAGCTCAGGGCCATGGCGGCTGCAGAGATGGCGTGGAGTGACTACCTGCTGACGCTCCTCCATGAGCACCAACCCTTGACAGGAGACACCCAGCTGATGTGCAAACAAGTGCGTTGGCGGGATTCAGTCATAAAAAATATAAAAAAAACATAATTCATAGGGGAGTCAGCCATATTCAGCCACAAATGGGAGAATTGTGGCTAATGACCCTTAGAAGGAAATGTACTAGTGGGGATCAGGTCCATTTGGCAATTAACCTGGAAGCCGGGTGTGTTGATGGCTTGTGTCACCGAAGCTTAGGACCGGTGCTTGGGAGATCTACACATCATGGCGGGCTCTGAAGTGATGGTCGGCTGTTCAGCATGATCATTTTTTTTTCGCTTGTTTCTGGTACAGTATGCCTTGATTGCAGTAGCTCTGAATTCTAATAACAAAAGGTTCGCAGATGAACCCCTGAAACATGAGCTGTCACAAAACATATTCCAGGTACCATGAATTGCCATCAATCCTATGCAGAACCCAGCAGAAGTAATTCTCTTCATGGAACTAAAACTACCAACAGATCTGACAGACTGAGTGTCTAAATCACAACTTTGAAGCGACTTGTAGGCATTTGATTGATAAAACACTCAAAGACTTGATCGTCCCAATTTTCTGAATGACGCCTCTTTTGATGTACAAATCAGTAGCCTTCATTTTTGGGCAGAGCCTTGACCCATCTCTTTGATATTGGTAATCAATTACTGGTAATCCTAATTAGTATTAGTATATATTAGTATTATCTTGGTAAGGTTACCACTGCAGTTGGTTATGGACCTCATGGATGCCAGTGGGTTCACAATGCTGGTGAAACCACCAACATCTGGCTTGGGAAGGGACACTTTGCCGGGAAATCTTTAGAGAAAGATTGGAAGCCATTGGAAAGCCTGAATTTCCACCAGAAATGGCTCATCATTGAGTCAACCTTGATAGTTTCTTTTGGTTCAAGAGTTTAGTAAAGTTTAGTACCTCTATTCGTACATGGATACGACTGAATATTAAACATTGCTGTATAGTAACATTCAATATGATATGGTATGATATGACCTGACATGATATGATATACATGATATCTCATGAAAATATGCAGTATATATCATGATATAATACGTATATATAATTATATATATTCTATATAGATATATAGATATACCGATACCATAATATCATATAGTTCCTGAATGTTTTGCTTCATGTCCAGACCATCCCTGGCCTTTTTAGGTCATCAAGCATGACTGTTGGCGCCTAGTGAGCCCTGGCATCAGCTGCTACAACGATGCATATCTGTGCACCCTGAAGGAGGCGGCAGAGATTTTGGCACAGATGGTGAATCAATGACGGTGATAAAATGGTAAATAGTGGTATGAATACTTGGCTATTATAATGATACCAGTTGTACTAATAGTGATATCATGGTTTGAGTGATTACGGTGATAAAGAAAATAATGGTGATACTAATGGTGAATGGCTAGCAGTAATACCATCAATGATGGTCAATAGTGGTAAAAATGGGTTAATACCTGGCTAATGTGAATGAATTATGGTGATAATTAATAATGACTACTGCAATACGGGTTAATACTCGTGGTCAGTACTGGTGGTCAATACCGGTGATTTAATGATGGTAATTATAACGTGATAGCAGTGAATCATGTACCTTCTGGTAATTTCACAGTTTGCGACCTAGAACATCAGCATTTAGGAAGTAAATCATCTATAACCGGGTCATGTTCCATAGCTTGTTGAATTTCCAGATCTATCCAGATCGTATATATGGGTTTGCCTGTCAAATGAAGTATCCCCAATTCCACTGGATTATCATTAAAACGAGACTATTGAGATATACACCATTTTCAGACAAACCCACATTTTCATAGCTCCATCCTTGCCTTCATAACTGCTCAAAGAATGAACTTCAACTTTGTTTTTGGTGCCTTTTTGATTCTTTTTGATTCCTTTTGTTTTTTTCCTCCATCAGGTGCGAGAAGCAGGATATCGCGCTATTGAGGTGGATTTCGTTGCGGTGGGGGATGGTTCGATGGGATCTCTCCAGCACCTCGGTCAATGGGTTGAAGAATGATGATGAACCAGCAGATGTTGGGCCGTTGGGGTACCGACATTTTAAGAAAACCCATTTATTGAGAAGTAAACAAAAGGCGATTCTGACTTGCCATGTCTAGTTCTGTGAGAGGTGGTTTCATCGAATTCCGTGAAATTGGGGACCTCCCAAGGATCTATGCCTACGCAAAAATTGCTAAGCAGCGTGGTTGGGGAGCATTTCCAACGCGTTTCTTTCAGGAAATGCGTTTTTTTTTGGGTCCCGAATCCCTTTGGAAACACCTAGTTAATTGGAATGTTTATCTCCATGAACCACCAAATTCGTCAAAACAGCAAAATTCCTCCAATCCCCCTAACAATTAAACACCCCATTGTATATTTCCCCTCCATCCACCATGGTTTATTGGTGGTGGGACCGGAAGACCTGAGGTGCCCTGCGAGCAGCAGATTGACATGGGATCCACCAAAGGAGAAACCATCGCTTTCAGCCCTGCTTACATCCATCTTTGCTGGAAACTTTGGCCAAAAAACATGTTTCTTCATCACCTAAAAATTGTGTGTTTTTTATCACCCAAACGCTGGCTGTTTGTTAGATCAATGACATGGGATCTTCAAACTTTATTACCTGTTGCCTGTTTTCTTTCCGGGGTTCCCGGAGATTCCGGCATTTTGGGGGCGAATACAATGGTGGCAACGGTGTTTCAGGCGCTGGGGCCGTACAGTCCTTTGCTTTGCCAGCATCCGTCCTTGTCATTCGACAAGAAGATGGAGGATATGAAAGCCCCTCCAGGATGGGATGCTTGGGGTTGGGCATGGGATGGGATGGAGCCCGGAAACACTTGGTGAACGGAGTGATGGATATGACATTTGCGCTTCTTGTATCAATCAACTTGTATAATTCTAATATATATATATATTTATAAGTTTTTTTTTTTAAATATAATAATATTATATCCCAGGCCTTCCAAAGGCCAGGTTAAACTTGGCCGTTACACTAACAGCCGGCCGTTACCTAAAGACCATCGAAAACCAATGTTATTTATTTATATAAATTTACATAATGGTCATGTTGATCTTGGGAAACTTGGGATATGTGTTAACATATATAAGGGGAAACCCGCCAAACCCCACATACACTCCACAGCCTCAGCAACAACAGCTGCACATCAACCAATTTCAAGTCTATAAGTGCCAAGACTGCTTGAAATGACCAATGGTTCCAAAGATTTCAATGAAAAGCCCGTGAAAAGACTACAAAATACCCAAACAAATGAGTAAAACTTAGGCGCAAGTTTTTGGTGGCTTTTCACGGGTTTTTCACGGCCTTTTCACGGGTTTTTCACGGTCGTTTCACGGACTTTTCACGGTCCAGATTTTTCGTCCAAACCATTGGACCATGTCCAAACTCTGGAGAAATCGGCGTCCACCACTATACGACATCTCGTCGGATTTGATGTTTCTACGTGGACCTTTGATTGTTGCTTAATGTTCTTGTGGGAAATTTCATGAAATTTCAGGTAGGTACTTTCACTAGATCATATTCTGTTTTGTATTTGGTGACATCATGATCTAAGATGCAGACGTTTGTGCAGAGCCCGTGCTCCCAGGCGCATTTTACTTGCATCGAATTGAACCAAATTGCCTTTTTATCCACCTATCTATTGACCATGATTTCCCAACATGACATGTGAGCTTCCTGGACAAAGTATGTATAATGGTTTTAAACATAGCTATAAAAAGGAGCATCTTCCAAGAGCCAGGTTAAACCTGGCCGTTAGTAAAGACCAGGTAAACTAGGTCGAGGAAGGGCTGGGTATACATATAAAATGATATATTTAATATTTTAAAGTATAACGCATACCTATTATCGAAGGAAGTTTACAAGTCAAACTTCCGACAATATGGACTGATGAAAAAGCAGAGGTGGGAAGAGTCAGAGAAGAGAAGAGAAGAGAAGATCAGAGAAGAGAAAGAGTCAGAAGAAAGACGGTGCAGGTGCGCAAAAAGGTAGAGAAGTCGCGAAACACTGTCTTTTCCGATGTTTTATGGCCCCGGAGGGTCGAAAAGTAGGCTCGCTAAATCGGCGGGTGCGGAGCCGTCTGCCCAGATGAGAGGCCAAAAAGTGCACGCGGTTGTGGCGCGAAGCAGGTTTCCAAGTCAAAATGGTAAACACGTTAACGCCGGAGCACTTTTGGAAGTTGAGGTGTCGAACATGTGCACGCCGCTGTGGCGCGAAGCACATTTCGAAGTCAACATATGAAAAGCACACCACGTTCGGACCACTTTTGGATGTTCAACCGCGCCAGACTACACTACAACAGAGCACTACAACAGAGCACTACCACTATAACTACAACTGCAACAACAACAACAACTACTACTACCACAACTACTACTACAACTACTACTACGACTACGACTTCAACTACGACTTCAACTACGACTTCAACTTCAAGTAGACTACACCTACAACTACAACTACAACTTCAGCTACACTACAGCTACAACAACTTAACTACACTGCAACTACAGCTACAACTGCAACTGCCAGTACCACTACAATACACTACAACTACAGCTACAACTACAACTACGTTACAGCTACAACTACACGATACTACAACTACCACTGCAACTACCACTACCACTACCGCTACATTGCAACTACAGCTACAAATTACAACTTCAACTACAGTACAACTACAGCTGCAGTACCACTACAGCTTCAACGACATTACACTACAACTACAACTACAACATCTACACCTACAACTTCAGCAACAACTGCAACTACAGCGACAACTGCACTACACCACACCAGGCCAAACTACATTCAGCAGATGTGGGTGAGGTGACCACAGCAACCACTCCAAAAAAACACAACTCCAACCACCTTTCGGTCCATCAGTGGATTCGTTCTGCCATCCATGCATCGCAACAATTCACCTGTCCTATAGTTGTCTATCTTTGAAACTTCCGCCGCCGCCTTGTGCGGTATTACTGGTATGGTTGCATTACATGTCATGTACAGTAGCGTGTTTTTACACACACAGACATATATGTATATGCATATATATATATATATGTATGTATGTATATACATATACATCTATCATTCATCGGTCCCCTGAAGGATAGAGGGCACCATGACCTTTGAGAACGTCCCGACCAGTGGTCAAGCGAACTTCATCTTCGGTTCCAATGGCTACAGCCCGCTATACCTGGCATTGGGACAGAAAGAGACATCTTCTGCGTGAGAGTAAATTCGCGCGATAGATATCTTCTGGTAACTTCTTACAATTTGCCAACTAGAAAATCACCAGTTTAAGGGGTAAATCCTCTATCAATGGGCCATTGTCCATAGCTATGGTAAATCACCAGAGGGTAAATGTATACGATTCTGTTTAATTGATTGATTTGGGTTTGTTTTGACCCATGTTCCTTTTTGGACTTCAACCGAAATCCGACGCTTTAAATGGTTGTTGAGGCAATGCCTCAAGACATGTTACAAATCCTGCAAATCGTAGGATTGAACGAATTTCAAGAGCCAACAACGGCTGCCTTCTTGCAGCTAAAAGAAAAGACACGCTGTGCAGAGACGTGGTTGGAATAATTCGCAAGTGAAGGCATGGTCTTACAGTCCTTGAAGATGGGGATCACTTAGAACAGTTCTGGGGAGGTAAGCATCCATTTGCCAGCTATCTTGAGCCAGCTCTCCGAGGTCACCCAAATCCCAAGTGACATAGTTTTGCCACGGGAAACCAATGGTTTCAGGAAATCTGCAGATGATCGATTTGCTGGTCAGGACCTTCCGTATGCAACCCGGGTCGACGAACCAACTTTGCCAGAGACGGCAGCCACCCAGTTCGAAGGGGGAGAGGAGCAGCTGACTTTTGGGGGCATTTGCTCTTGGATTTGCTGAAGATAATTTTTGTTTTCCCGTTGGTTAATCCACCACTACTAGATTTAATTTCTTTTTTTGGGACTCCTGCTTAGTGGGTTCCCTAATGTTCCCTAACTCATTCCTTGGGGAAACCAATCGGAGGGCACATTCCTGGGCAGGGATTTGGGAATCTTACAACTTTACCCCATAGAACCTTGTTTTCTCAAGCCTATCCCCCAAAACACGTGGTTGCGCATTATGATCATCATGATTTTTTCATGGCCTGATTACAGTATTCTTGTTTCATGAATCCATGACAATCCATGTAAATCCACCATTTCTGGATTCTTTCCCACAGATTGGGAGGGATTATCTGTGGAGAGTTGACAGGAGGCAGCCCTTCATCGGCTCCAGTACTACCTGCCGCTCGGCGGATCATTTTCTGATTTCCTTTGGTCAAAAGGCCCACGGCGATCCATGGCGTACTGGAACATCCGGAATATCCGCAACAGAACGAGCATGAAAGTAGATGAATTACCTTTTCAACATCATCAAGCATCATCAAACATCGGGGAATTCCCAGTGAGAAAAAGCGGCCCTCGGTTGTCTCGAGCCAAATTTTCTCAGTGCAGCTGGGAGGTTTGAGTCCAATCATATTGCGAAATACTTCGAGACCCGCAATGGGATGCTTGGCCCAGACCCTTGGCACCGGAGGTGAGTCGCTGAAAGATTAAGCCGAGTGAGTTGAAAAATGGTGAAGATCAGATGTTTTCAGTGCGTCTTCCTTGCTGAATGATGGGCTTCGCAGAAAATCTCCGGAAATATGGAAGAGAAACCATGGGAAAACATAAAGAGATGAGAAAAGCGATGCATCTGGTGCTGATGGAATGTGGATCTGGATAAAACCAATTCTATTGAATGGCTCAATGTCTTGCATTTCGTCTATCCTATTTTCGGTAAACGATTTGCCTTTCATGCCATTCCAGATATTTCGAAGATGCTTCGCTCGCCGTTCGTTTTTCACAGAGGACTATTCCACGAAGTTTGCCCCATGGCTGGCCTTTGGCTGCTTGTCGCCTCGGAAAATCTTCGAGCAGATTCGAGAGTACGAGAAGGAACAAGTGGTGACTTGATGGGACCATTGGGGTCTGCGGGTAAGTCACCAACAAGATGAAGGGCTAATTAAATCTAAGAACGAGGATAGCGGATAGACTTGGACCAGAAACTCCTGGATTTTGGTTGGAATTTGATGCATTTACTGTAAATCATTTTAAAGGTCCAACTATTGGACAATGATATGAAGTTCAGTGGCAACAACCGTGTGAAAGTGAAGCTATAGCGCCGGGATGGCTCGTGCTGTGGCGGGTGCCACCCTGACCTGTTTGGCCACTCGTGAAGTCTTGCGGGAACACAGCTGGCACTAGCGTTCTGTTTGGTGGCTATTGCCTTCCTGAAACCCGCTACATTGCACCACTACCTTGTTTGAGCCAAACTTCCCAAGAGATGGGAAGTTTGGTAGAGTAGGAGAGGACATGACTTTACTTCCAGAATCGCTGTTGAGGTGAGGGGAAGTTCACTTGAGACAACCTATTCAAAAAATGTAAAAAAATGGCAGGAGATCCGGCAGGCAGTGGCATAGTTTCACTTGTCATTGCCTTCCTGAAACCTGCAAAACTGTTGGTACCTTGTTTGAGCCAGGCTTTTCCCATGGGAAGCTTGGTAGAGAAGGTTACAACAGGCAAGTTGTGCGGCACGTTGTCTCAGATGTAGCGCAGAGGCACAAGTTCAAGGTCAATCAAGGTCCGTACCATCGATTATGGATTCGTTAGGTTTGAGACCATCGTGACGACAAGTATAATGAGAGCAAGGTCCGCAACCATCATCGTTTGCTTTGAAAGAGCCGCTTCCGCTTTTAGAGGTTTTCTCTTTTCAACTCTTGTCTGCTTTAGAAAAACTTTAGGAACAATGCTACCTCATTGATTCACAAGACTCTTTGTACAGGGAGATAGGACGTAATTGCGCATGATTTGCATCAATGGGAAACATCCAGAAAGTGAGAGAGAGAGAGACAGAGACAGAGACAGAGACAGAGACAGAGAGAAAGTGAGAAAGTGACAGAGTGACAGACTCTCGAATATTAACATACGAACAATCTAATCTGGCCAGGGAAATAGCCTATTAAAAGATATGCTTTTCCTATAAAGCCGAGACTTCCCATTGCTGGGGATGCGACTCAGAGAATCACCCAGTAGTGAAATCTGCAGTAAACCATGCATCCTACTTGGGGTGCAGATAAGATAGTTAAGGTATGCTAAGGTTATGGATGTGTAATATGTGTATATAACTGTCATGTTGTTGCGATATTGTCCGAAGAAACTGAGAAACTCTGGTGAAATCTCCACGACAATTTGATGATTTTCCATTGATTGCCCACGTAGCTACCAATTGCAGGCACCGCTCATCGCCCAGGCTAACAAGTCCACTTATTGGGTGCTCTTCGAGCTGTTCCTCGGAACGGAGTAGGCGGAACTGGCCTTGGAAAGTTTACCATCCCATATTGCGTTTCACCATCCCAAAACAATTACGGATATTACGGTTTACCATGTTACCATGAATTAGCGAGTTCGCCACGTTCCCAGTAAGTATTGGCTAGTATCACTAATGTGGTAAATGCCAATGATAAACCATCCCTATAGTTTTTGGTTTATTGGGTATACCCCGAATTGGGATGATGGATGATGATGGATGGGATGGTGATGTGACAGAGCTACAGTATAGCCCGCAAAGATGGTATGACAGGTATGACGACTCATCCCCATCTCGCTTGAGACCTCCATACTTGTGGCATAAATCACAGTTTTAGTGAAAGAAATTCAAAGAATTTCTGATGGACAAAAGTGTGGTGTCGGCTGTGGGCCATTTTGGCTCAAGACAAACCACAGCTGACCCACCATGAAGTTTCTACTCTTTTGCGCGGTCAGCTATGTTTCCTTCACAAGCCGCTGCTCTTCAGATGGCCACGATCTCCGACATTCGGGATTTCTACGAGGTGCCGAGGGATTTGTGGCAGGCATTCATACAGGTGGCAGGCGATCCTGGCGAAGACTTGAAGTTGTTGTCAGCGTTGCCTCCCACGGTGATTGCAGCATCCTTGGAGCGAGCGGCGATTGGAGGACAACCCCTATCAGCTGTACAAGCTTCCCATGTGGGGCTCATTTACAATTTGGCGCGGAGGATCATGCATGCAAAAGGAGGAGGGGACTGGGAAAGGTGGCAAGATCAATCCCCATTTTTGGATCAACGGCAAGCTCATGGAAACGAAGGCACAAGCTCCCCTATCAAAGGAGAGGCCACGGGGGAAAGGAAACTAAAGATGACTCAGGTGATCGACCAGTCAGACGACGGGGAGTTCACCGTACAATCCGAAGAGGTCAGATCGAGGTGGTACCAACAGTACTTCCAAACTACAGGTGGCTGGCCGCCCGAAGAAGAAGACCCTACATCGGAGCAGGTCAGTGCGTTGGACAAGAGGATCAACACGCAGGACATTTCACCTTTTGTGGATTTTGGAGTTTGGGTGCCATATGGATCCAAAGCGTTGAGAGCGAGCAGATTCAGGTCCTACGTTCTCACGGCCAATGGTTACGTGACGAAGGAGCTGCCGGGACCTGCGACGTTCGTGCAGTGGAGATCATCATTCAGGATCTCGCGCACTGCCCTGGTGATGTTGGACGCAGTGTCCTTGGCATCATTACATGCATACGAAATGACCATCGAGCGCCTCACCAGAACCTATCCATCAGCTTGGCACCTGATCTACTCAGCGGACGAACTGGCCCGTTCATCACACTCAAATCGTCTGAGGTCGAGGATGGTGATGGATGCCAGGGCAGGGAGATCAGTGCCATTGATGTGGGACCCCAAGAGGCCTTGGGACTTCATCTTCAACCTGGTGGCGATGGACGACAGCTTCTGGCAACAGCAGGTTATTTCGCCTGCCTTAGCCTGGATTGCGGCGGGCAGTCAAGGGAAGCCCAGGACGCCAGCAGAGCAGTTAGCAGCGGGCTTCATGAACGGTGGAGTACAGCCCATAACTCCACAAGTGGAAGGCCTGAAGCAGACCAACATGGACCCTACGCTCACAGGGACTACAAGGACGAGACGAAGGAATGGAAAGAGAAAACAAAGAGGTGGCGATGGAGAAGACGGACAAGGTGGGAAAGGAAGTCCAAATACAAGCAGAAAAGGAAACGGAAAGGGGACGACAAAACAGCTTTGTTATGGCTGGAACAATGGAAATGGCCCATGTGCTGGTTTACCACCAGGGCAACCGTGCGCATCGAAGGTGACGAGGGAGCACCGTTGCACGATTTGTCAATCTCCAGGTCACCCATCAAAGGACTGCACGAAGAAGAAAGAGTGAAGAAACATGGAGAGGAAACGGAAAACACGAAGAAGGAGAACGACACGAAGGACTCCAAAGCGGAGACAAATGAGGAGGAAACCTATTCATACACGTATGAGACGGAGGAGGGTTCAGCAGAAGAAGATGAAAAAGGTGGAGACGAAGAAGAACCAGAGGAACAAGATCCCCTGTTGTCCAACACTTTGGAAGAGTTCTACAACAAGAGGGTTTTCATCTTCATCCATCACTTCGCAGGCCGCAATGACCCGTTGTCCAAGGCCCTCAAGCTGGAAGCGACTCGACAAGGCATCAAGATCAAGGTCATCAGCGTCGAGAAGGAAAACGGTTCAGGTGACCTTGCATCAACAGAACCATACACGACGCATTTGCGTTGGGCACGAAGGGGTTATGTTGATGGGTTTCATGCTGGATTTCCATGCGGCACATTTTCCAGATTGAGGCACGGGGTCGCAGACAACATGCCTGGACCGGTTCGTACAAAATCAGAACCATATGGCAGGAGGGACAATACAGAACGTGAACAAGTTCAATGTGACGAAGGCACAATTTTGGCATGTAGGGCCATCGATATGGCGGTGGCGGTGGCAGAGCGGAAACAAATCCACCGAGTTCCGCCAGCGTCGACATTAGAAAACCCTCCTCCTAGCGACTGCCCAGAACACATCTCAGCCTGGGAATTGCCCGAGATGGACAAGTTCCTGCAGAGGGACAAGAGGTTCTTTGCTCGTTTCAACACCTGCAGGTATGAATCGGGCGTGGAGATTGGAAAGAGGCATTTCAAGCCACAACAATTCGCAGGATCGTTGCTGGGCCTGCCCGAGCTGTCGAAGGTGTGCTCATGTGGCAAACACGCCAAACATGAGCCAGTGATTGGTCCAGCTAGATCCAAAGCATCCGCAGAGTATCCGGAGAAACTGTGCAGAGAGTATGCAATATTGGCCATATCGCAACTGAAACTGATGGGGAAGGAGGAGTTCTTGAAAGCCCGAATGTCATCTTTGCAGGACGAGATCAACCAGACGAAGGCGGGGGTGGTAGAACACGACGTCCTCAGCAGTCACATTCCAAGACCACCCAGCGTGCACAGGAGGAGGTCTCGAACACCGTTGCGTAGGCCTACAACAGAATCAAGGAGAGCAAGAGGAAGCCCTGATGGTTCAGAATCACCTCCAAGACCCAGCTCCTCAGGCATTGCGGCAAGAGGTCGAGATCGTAGAGGACGCGAAGGCTCAGGGGATGAAGAAGAACCAGATAAGAAGAAAGTGAAGCTGGAGCCTAACTTGGCAGCAAATATTTGGAAAGAAGGAGAAGGAAAATATGGAACCCTCAAAGCAAGCAGGGCAAAGAAATCAACAGCGCAACAGCTGGACTACCTTGGCGGGCTGAGGGATCCATTCAAAGTGGTCAAACAGATGGCAAACCTGCAGTCCATAGGAGTCAGAATCCGGGCCGCATGGGAGGCCTTTGAACGCGAAGTTCAAAACACCAACTTGGTGGCGGAAACCTACGGCACGAAGGATTGCGCGCTTGATCCAAAGTTGGTGGAAGGCTGGAAGGCCAAACTCAAGAAAGTGCTGGGAGCTCAAGCGCCCAAAGCAGTGAGGGTGAAAGCCAAATGGATGTTCACGTCACCTCTGGAGGCGGAGATTTTCAAAGCTTGGGTCAACAGAGGCAACGACCCGGAGACCCATGTTGCGAGGTGGATTGAGGAAGGAGCGCCGTTGGGGATAGAGGTGCCCATTGAAGTGGCCGGAGTGTTCCCTTTGAACACGGACGACTCCAACTTGGATTTCTCAGGTTCACACGAGTTGGAGGACGCCGCAACGCAGCTCAGCAGAGGCGAGATGGTGAACTACATCTCAGTGCAGGACAACGTCGAAGAAGCGAAAATTGAGCTGGACCGCTATCGGCAGCGAGGCTTTCTGGTGGATGTGCCCAAAGGCATCGTCGAATCTGAAATGGCCCATGGAACCATAAGCAGATTGGGACTCATCATCAAGGAGAAGCCGGAGGGCATCAAGCGGCGCATCATTTTGGACCTACGTAGGTCGGGCGGGAATCGAAAATCAACATTGCCAGAGAAACTGGTACTTCCTCGCCCAAAAGATGCGGTGGAAATGATGAGGGAAGTATACAAACTTCGACGTCCCCATGGCAGCGAAGGTAACTTTGCAAGGGAACTGGTGGTCATCGACATCAGTGATGCCTACATGTCCTTGGGCCTGGACCCTCGAGAATTGCCACATGCACTGGCACCCAACGTGGCGAACGACGATTTTTACTTGTTCTCAGCCATGTTGTTTGGGTTCAAGACGGCACCACTCATTTGGTCAAGGGTGGCAGCACTGGTGGCAAGGCTGCTGCAATCCCTGCTTCAAGGTGACGAAGGGATGCATCAGGTTTACCTGGATGATAGCCTCTGGATCTTGCAGGGCACGCTCAAACAACGCAACTCGATACTGTCAATGGTGCTGACTACAATGGCAGCACTAGGGTTGCAAGTGTCCCTGGCCAAAGGCGAGCGTGCAGCACAGGTGCAATGGGTTGGAGTGAAGTTCAACCTGAAGGAAGATGTGGTGATACTTTCACTGCCGGACAGGTTCACGCAAGATCTGGTGAAGCTTTTGAAGGGATGGGACAACCGTGGTATGGCGCCGCTGAAGGAACTGCGACAAGCAGCGGGAAAGCTGTCGTGGTTGTCGGGAATCCTTCCAAAGGCACGATGGTTGGTGTCAATATTTTACCGGGTATTGCATGAACGTTTGGATGACATTGCATCAGGCGATGAAGCTCACCGCAGAGAGAAGAGGTCCGATCAACGAAACAAGGATGCCTTGTTCCCCGTGAAGCAAGTGGAACAGGCAAGACAATGGTTGCTGACGTTCTTGGACGTGGCGATGGAAAGGCCGCAAAGGTTGTTCAAGCTCGAGGTGGATCAGTATCCGAGCGCAACAGTGGTGACGGACGCAAGTCCGCGGGGCATGGGAGCGATACTCCTGATCAACAACAAAGTGGTCAAGGCCCTGTCCTTTGCGGTGACGAAGGTAGACGCCGAACAGCTGGGTTTCAGCGAAGTTTGGCAGACATCGGCCTCACAAGGGATCGTGGAGACGTTGGCCGTGCTCTTGGTCCTGAAAGCGTGGTCGGCGCAATTGAAATCTTGCAGGTTGGTGTTGCAGGTTCAGTCGGACAGCATGATTGCGCTGGCCACCACTCAGAAGTTAAGCAACCCATCAACGACCCTCAACTTCATTGGGGCCGAGATAGCGATCCAGTGCGAAGCCATTGGAATCGAAGGTTTGAAGGCGGTGCACATTCCAGGGGTGGCGAACTCGGTGGCTGACTACCTGAGCCGCCCGGACAAATGGGACTCGGCCGAGCTGCCCAAGGAATTGCAGGGCATCCCCATCCAAAAGGATGTTGGGGAAAGGGGGCCTGAGTTTTACCATTTGCCCACCCCTGCAACAGCACCAGGGTTGTGGCTCTCCAGTGCGGCGGCCAACGACATTTGGGCCAGCCTGCATTGACGAAGAGCAAGTGCACCACGAAAAAGGAAGGGCACTGGCTAGCCACAACTTGTCAAATCAAGGAAGGTAGGTCCAAGGTTTTGCATGGCGTTTGGTTTAATTAGGGTTTCATTTGCAGCCGGGCTCAAACATGACGGAAGTCGTTTTACGCCTAGAGCTCGAACCGGCGCTGTGGGTTCATCATGCAACATGGCCGACATGGACGGTGGGAATTTTGGGAGCATCTCTCTTCCTACTGATCATCTGCGGCATGAAGGCGTGTTATCACTGTTGCTTTTTCCAGGAGGAGACAGACCCACCAGCGCTGCACGAAGTGGACAACCCATACGTCTACTTGACTTCGTGCGAAACCCATCACGAACCGCGGTGGCCCACAGAAGAGATCAACTTGGCGTCGTTCGTGACCCGAAGGCCAGGGATGTGGCACAGGAGGTATTTCAACGAGATTGGGGAGGAGTTTTTCGTGGATCTCGATTAGACGAAGAAGGCCAAGGTGACGAAGGCAACACTTCGACTCCACCAAAGCTGCCAACTTTGGAACCTTTTCCACCTAGCCCACCGGCACACCTATTTGGGAAGGAGCATGACTCTCCCCGGGCTGGGCCCAAGTCTGCTGGGCCTATGCTGGAAATATCCGATGAAGAGAATGGGGATGCCTGGTCATCCCGGGAAAAACAGGGAAGGTTGAGCAGGAGTGCATCCGTTACGGCCAATCGAGATGCACCAAATCCAAAGGAAGAGGTGGAGCGAGAACGTAGTTTGCCTCAGAAACCTTGGTGGTGCGAATTGTTAGCATCACCAGTCAAACGGCTCAGGCTCAACGATTGGGGCAAAATGTGGAATGCGCCCCAACCAGATTTCAGACTGCCAGACAGTGCTCAAATTCAGGAGAATGATCAACTTGTGGGCGCAGAGGTGACGAAGGAAAGGAAACCAGCCGAGGTTGTGGAGAAGAAGAAGAAGCCGAGCTTCAAAACGCGGCGAACAGATATCCCGGTCAGACGGGAGGTAAAGGGAAGGAACCAACTCGGGTTCAAACCCACCATCAAAAGAGCGGTGGAGTTGGCAAAATCAAAGCAAAAGAGGGAAGGCAATTTAACACGGATCGAAGAAGATTATTATTCGAACTCCTCAAGGGCGGCCAAAGCCTCGAGGAGGAAATCTATCATGAAGATCCTGGACGCAGCGAAGGCATCCTACCCTTTGACTCCGGAATCGATCAAAATGCTGGCAGGAGCTTTGAGAGAAGCCGGATACAAGTCGGCCTACATGTACATCATCGAGGCAAAGACGCATCACGTGGAATTGGGCCACGCTTGGACGCATCTGTTGGACAGGCACTTCAAGCTCACCATCAGTGCAGCGAAGCGGGGCATGGGGCCGAGAAAGAAGGCGCCCGAAGTGCAAGAAGACATTTGGTCTTGCGGGTCCCTACTACCTGAAGGTGGCGCAAAGAAAGGTGAGTTGCTACTGGCTGCACATCTCTTCGCTCTGGGCACTCATTGGATGCTAAGAGAAATAGAGATAGCCAGATTGACAGCCAGCGATGTGTCCTTTGACATTCGTGGGAGGACTGTGTCCCTCATCCTTCGTGAGTCAAAGATGGACCAGTCAGCGAAAGGGGTGATGAGGACATTACAATGCTTGTGCAGAGACAGTTGTGACTTGAGGTGCCCCTATGCCGTGTTGGAGGTCCTGGTGAATCACGCAATGCTCAAAGGGTCACCTGACAGCCATCTTGCAATCACCGCTGAGGTCCAGCAGGCGACGAAGGCAGAAGTCATCAAGGCGTGGAGAAAGCTGTATGGCTCCACGGTCACGGGCCATTCGGCTCGAAGATCGGGGGCATTACAGTACATAAGGAAGGGTTGGGCCATATCACAAGTGGCATTCTTGGGACGTTGGAAAAGCAGCGTCATCTTGGAATACGCGCAGGAAGCCCTAGAATCTATGGCGGTCAATGGAGACAAAAAGTTTGGTGAAGCGCCTTTGAAACAATCCACTTTGCAAGTGGACAAGGAAGTTTCTGAATTGGTGCTCCAAGCTCAGTCTCAAGTTCCTCGCGATCCCGAGGTGAAGCTGGCGGTGGTACAACAGATCCAGAAAGAACTGGCAAAGCTCAAAGCGAACACGAAGGACGCAGCAGAAAACTTGCAAAAGGAAATCCAAGTTTTGGAGACCAAGTGGGAATCAAATTCCACCTATTTACCAAACCTGGTAAAATCAGCGAGACATCAGGTCATCCACAAGAATAACCGGATTCTGGTGTATGCACCATCCGCTCAGTGGAGATCGGTTTGTGGCTGGCATTATTACAATTCAAATTACGAGTTTGTCTGTGGAGAGGACACGAAGGTCACGTGCACAAAATGCCAATTGCCGCGCAGAGCAAGGAGAAGGATGATGCGGCAGCACAAAGTGCCCATCTTTAATGTGGGTGGAACTGGACCAATACAAGATTGGGACCCAGTTGAAACAGACAAACTAAGGCAGCACCACCGACAAAGATGAGGGGTGGGCTGGATGGATTTCATTTGAAAGTTGACACCAAAACGTGTCTGTTGCGTTTAACCAAATTTTGATGGTTTGGTCACCATTTTTGACACTTACATCATACACCCCCATCTTTGATGGTTTGATCTAACTCCTAATTTTTGATGCTTAAAGCCTTACTTTTTTTGCTGGTCAACTTTCAATTCTGGTGGAATCACAATTTCGATGATTCCCAGAGTGTAGTAGTTCCTACTGTTACCCTCTAGTAAACTAACGTAGCTATGGAAAATCACCTTTTTAAATAGATAATTCAGCTATAACTGTGCCATTTTCTATAGTTATGTTAAATTACCAGAGGGTACCCAGGATGTGGCGTGACTTCTTCCGCTTCTTCGCCGCCAAGCATGGCCTCTAGACTTTTTGTTGAACCTCAACAGGTCAGCTTGCGATGGGGGGTACTGATGTGAATAGGTTGTTCTGTATTGTTTTTTTGTCCAAGTTTCCAAGGGGTAGGACATGTTAAGGTATTTTTCCCACAAAGTAGTAGAACTTGTTGATAGATTGCAGGCAAAGTCACCCAGATCGGTGGGACTAACACTGCTGATTGTTTTGAAATTCAGGCTGGATGGATTTCTTGCCATTAAAGATTCAGATTTTGCTTGCCCTCTTGGTTGCCTTTTTTTCCCTTGATTTTGATGGCAACGTTGCTGGAAACTGACCTCTCACCCACTTAACCAACTTAGAGGATGGCCGCCAAGGCAACCAGATTTTCAAACTGCATGGCATAGCTGGAGGAAGAGCTTCTTGACGGAGATGTGCTTTTGGGGCAAGTTCTCACGCTGTATTTCCTTTGTTTAACTTTGTTTGGAAATAATGAGAAACAACAAGAAAACACAACCCAAATTTGATGGTTTAGCAATCCGTTGTGGTTTGAATTTGGTAATTTAGTATATAATTGGAAAAACAGTTTATCATCATGTTTCCCAATTCCAAAGAATTAAAATACATAATTAGCCATTTTGGGCCTATACGCAATTTTCAGGCACACGCTTGCTCAGAACTGTCGTTGCGGATTTTGCTGTGGAATGCATCGGACGTGCAAAAACACAAACTATTATACAAATGACAGGATGAATATACACATCATATAGACGTATAGAAGTATAATCACAGGAGACAATGACAGTATAAACCAACAGCGATGAAATATAGGTCCCCCCAGCTGCGACTAAAATGCGCCCAGGGGCTGGATTATACATATAAATATAGCTGCAGGTACAGGAAGCCGGCCACGTTTCCCTTCCCACTCATGCCCACGGCTTCATTGCGCGTGGTAGGACATGAGTGCCACACGCCCCTGCAATAATAAGAAGTTTTACATCTATGCAGATGGTACACACACACACACACTAGATAAGAATGGATCATTGTAGTGATCCGGCAGGAACTGAATCCTGTAACATGCAGATTAGGTGAGAAACAAACTAATCTACGACGTATCCTACGAATAATGGAAGTTCTCCTGAATGATCACCATGTCCTGAATCGACATCAAAAAGAATAGAATAAGGATCGAAAAGTTAATCAACCAAAAGTAATGTCATCGGCGATGTCGTCGGCGAAGATTACTCGCAACCAATATGCATCGGCGACGATGTTGTCGGCGACCATGTAAAAACATGTAAAATAAGTTGTTTAAAAAACGGCATGGTGGTTCTCGGGTTAGCCACGTCCCATCATGAAGAATATTGCAGGTACGTTTTCACCCCCATACTGTCTGGTCTTCGTTGGCCAGGACAGACAGTGATGGGTTCCTGGCCCCCTGCCTTAACGTAAAACAGAAAAAAGGAAGTTTTACATCTATGCAGATGTGACACACACACACACACCCTGCCGAAGCAGGGTTCTTTTTGGAAGAAATACAGCGGCTGTGATCTGCTGCACGAATTTCTGTATACCTTCGATACAGTGGAATGACCTGGCTTCAGTCCGTAAGTAAAAGGTTCAGCCGGTGGATTCAGAAGCTGAACTGGAGGATTGCTGCAGAGCTTGGATCGCGTCTGGGAAGCTCATGTGTGCCCGCCGTCTGTTTTTTATTAACCTTTTGAAGTGCAAATCGAGCTCTGGCTACAGTCCTGCGCGCTTTTTGTCGACAACTTTTGCAGACCGAACCCCAAACCCACGAGCACGGAAACCACTTTACCCGAAAAAACAGGGTTTCGCGCCCGAAAGTGTTTTCATCTTTGAATTCACACGCGGCCGAATTGTTACACTTTCCAACTACTTGATGATGGGTGGTTGACATAATGATGTGCTTGGCATGATGGTGGGATTGCTAACACTGACAATCGTCCGTAACTGGGAAGTTTTCTAACTCTAAACTTCCTTTGCTGATATCTACATACACCTTGCATACATCACATCTAGCTTATGTCTGAAACTTGAGGAGACTACCCAAAATTTTCATATTGGATCGCCCATTTTATCCATTTTTTGAAGGTGTATCCCCCCATTTGTTGTCGATCTTCAAGGCCCGGTCCTAGGACTGGAAGTCTGACATGCAGCTCTTCCAGCTTTGGGCCGAAGGACGGACGGGCTTTCCATTGGTCGATGCCAATATGCGGGAGCTGCGCAGCTCGGCAGCTGTCGAAGCGAAAGTGTGACATTGGAAAGATTGAGATGATGTAAAAATCTACCGACGCATGCAGTATGATATATGATTGTATATAAATAAATACGAATACCTGTTTATTATATATCTGCATAATTTAGAGCGAGGGCTGACGAGGTACGAGGTGAATCTTTGCAATTTAAGCGAGGTGAATTAATTAAATTCACAAAACGAGGTGGGCAAAAATTGCTTTCAAAGCATGTGCAACGAGTGAAAAAAACTTTTCGGGCTCCAGAAAGCTTTTTTGGTTCCCATCAGAGTGAAAAAATAGAAAATTAAGGCTGCATTCAGACCCCGTTAAAAAAAACTTTCTGGAGCCCGAAAAGTTTTTTTTATCGTAATTTCAGTCAGTGCCCTGTGGTGGCATGCCCGGTTGTTCCAGGACTTCCGTATTTGTTCTACAGTGAAACCACTGTTTAAGAACCCACTGCATTAAGAACTTCAGGGGCTGGATTGCTGGATTCAACTCTGTCTACCAGCAAATTGAAATAAGAACCCTAGGGAACCCTGAAATTTTGGTCAATAGTTCTTATTCACCTTTCCCAGGTAGCGCGACTAGATTCTAAAATTGCTAAAGCTTGAGGTGTAGCGGGGTATCTTGGTGCTGCTGCTGCAGCTTCTCTTCTCTGGGGTCGAATTTGGGGGGAATCGAGACCCTTGTAAAAGAGGCATCTCGGAAACAGGAAAAAACTTTTTAGGCCCTGAAAAGTTTTTTCAGCATCCCCAAGCCTCTGGAGCCCAGAGCGTTGCTGCAACGACGACAAAGATAATTCAAAAAAGTTCAACCCAAAAGGAGGCAGAGGACTAGTGCGAATGGCTTGCGGTCGAGAAAGAAATGGGACGAGGGCTGAAATCCGTTTTGAATGTAACGAGGCGAGGACTGAAGATTTAATCAGAGGGAAAAAGTAGATTTAAGACGAGGAAACCGTTTTGAATTTAAAGTAAATTTTGCAGATATATATATATATAGATATATTATGAATAATTTATATATTTATATATATATATCGATAGATAGAGATTCATGTATATATATATATATACATATATTATAATATATATATATACATGAATCTGTATCTATCGATTTATATATATATATATCCCCCCTTTAACCCTGGAATATTTGGGGGGGTAAAACAAGAAATTTCCGAAACATATTTCGTGTGACCACATGAAATTTACCACCCCACATGTTTTTTCGATTTCCAAAAGAAGTGGGAGGGGGTCCTCCGGATGCCAGACTTTAGCCTAGATATGTCAATTGGATATACATAGATCAAAAAAACAAACCGCCATGACCTCTGCGAACTCCTGCTCCTGGTCTTTGAAGATATTCAGAAACGGAATCCTATTGCTGCAATGGAATTTGTGCGGGGGGGGGGCTTCTAGAGCTGAAAAATATCCTGGTTTTGCACCTCCCCCCTCAAAAAAATCACAAACAAAATTTGGGGAGAGAAAACATGAAAATGCGAGCTTCAGCCAGTTTGCACGTACCTGACCACATCCCCAGGTGCCCGTTGGTGCACAACTGAGGAGCGCTAAGATTTTCCATTGCCTTATTCTAGCGCAGATAAACCAAACATATTTAGCTGACATATTTCTAGGTGTGTGGGGGGGGTTACACCCCCCTTTTTGAATATTTCAGTTTTTACCCCCCACCCCCCTTAAAGGGGGGGGGATATAAATATATATATATATATATAAATATATATATAATAGATTTACACATATATATAATTAATATATATTTTTTCTATACGCACAATATACACAATATACATATATATATATATGGTACCCCCCCCTGATACCCACCTCACATTGATTCAAGAAGTAGGTTTTTAATGATCTACTGTATATGTATGTAAAAAATGTATGTATATATATATATATATAAATAAATGTATGTATATATATATATATGTATATATATATATAGACTTGCACGTCACTTGGTACTATGTGGTTAAATAATTTGGGTACTTAGGCAAATTGCACACAGAGAAAAATTGCAATTTTTGCAATTTCCAGACCCCAAATTCAAAGATTCAAAGATTCAAAGATTTTGAAAAGAAGTTCTTTGAATCGAAGCCCCCCAAAGATTCAAAGATTCAAAGGTTGAAAAGAAGTTCTTTGAATCCAAGCCCCAGACCCCAGATTCAAAGATTCAAAGATTCAAAGGTTGAAAAGAAGTTCTTTGAATCGAAGCCCCAAAACCCAAATTCAAAGATTCAAAGATTCAAAGGTTGAAAAGAAGTTCTTTGAATCTTTCACTTGGGGTTTGGGGCTTCGATTCAAAGAACTTCTTTTCAACCTTTGAATCTTTGAATCTTTGAATCTTTGAATTTGGGTTTTGGGGCTTCGATTCAAAGAACTTCTTTTCAACCTTTGAATCTTTGAATCTTTGAATCTTTGAATTTGGGTTTTGGGGCTTCGATTCAAAGAACTTCTTTTCAACCTTTGAATCTTTGAATCTTTGAATCTTTGAATCTGGGGGGCTTCGATTCAAAGAACTTCTTTTCAACCTTTGAATCTTTGAATCTTTGAATTTGGGGTCTGGAAATTGCAAAAAGTTGCAATTTTTGTCTGCGTGCAATTTGCCTAAGTACCTCAAGGTGCAAACTTATCTGTCAAAAAACTCACACAAACAAGTTGCTCAGGCAAACTGCTCCAAAGCCATCTACAAACCACCGCAGAGGCGCCTGGGATTTGGTGGTGTCAAACCTGGTCAGTACCTCAAGGTGCAAACTTATCTGTCAAAAAACTCACACAAACAAGTTGCTCAGGCAAACTGCTCCAAAGCCATCTACAAACCACAGCAGAGGCGCCTGGGATTTGGTGGTGTCAAACCTGGTCTGAGAAACAGTTACTCTAATCAGACACTTTCAGTTCAGCACATCACTGTTCATCTCTGCAGCCGCCTATCTCATCCGAAAAAAGTCTCTGACTAGAAAAAGGTCACAAACATGCAATTTCCAATCGAGGGCAGCGTCTCTTTGAGCAATGGCTCAGCCACATTGCGCTTGAAACCTGCAAGCGTGGAGGTGGTCTACGTTCAGGCTCCTCGCCCGACCGTTGAGGATGTTCAGCTCTGGGATGTTCACTCGTCACGACTCCCTATGAACAAAAAGGTCTTGGCTTCAGCAATGGTTTGTGTCCAGAAACAGTTGGGCATCCCCACCGGCATCAGTGGAGTATGGACCCAAGATGCCACACGCAGGCTGCAGACCAACCTCGCCAAACCAAAGAAGGCAGCCCAAGCACATCCCTCATCACCTCCTCAGCTGGCACTCGAGGACATGAAGCATCTTCCTCCTCAGCCCAAGCGCAAGCGTTCTTCGTCGTCATCTTCCTCATCATCATCGTCCTCGTCATCTTCTTCGAAGGCGTCCGCGGCGTCCTCTACAGCATCGAAGTCATCCAAGGCATCCTCCAGAGCATCTAAGGCATCGAAGTCATCCAAGGCATCCTCCAGAGCATCTAAGGCATCGAAGTCATCCAAGGCACCCTCCAGAGCATCTAAGGCATCAAAGTCATCCAATGTATCTGCCAAGTCTTCTGGAACCACCACCGAAAAGCTTCTTGCACAGATCACCCGCCTTCAAGCCGAAAATTTGGAGTTCTCCGATGCCATTGCCTGCCACCAGGAAATCGAGGAAGAGATTATGCGTGTGAAAGCCGAGCGAGACAAGTTGGCCAAGGAGAATGCGAAGCTGAAGGGCGAGATCGCTGCCTTGAAGATTCGCATTGGACTCTAGATAGCGGCTGTGCGGTGAACAAAAGGAATCTTATTGCAGCGTGACAATCGTATTGTTAGTTGGGGTTAGGGTGACATGATGCAGGTATGCTGTCTTTAAAGGAAGGGTATACAGGGAAAGTAAGATAGTGCATAGCTCCAACCTAGCTGTATATCCAAAACCGCAACGTAAACAACAAAAACAAAACATTGCGCTTGTCTGCTGCACATTGGTTCCTTCTGCTTGCCTCACATCTGCTTTCTTGTGTGACATTTGGCTCAGCCTGGCCTTCTAGCCCTGTCCCGCAATCGTTGCTCTCAAATCTGACGAAAATGTCCGGCGCTTTGATGGACAAGGCCATTGCAGACCTGGCTGGCAAACAGATGCTTCTACGTCTCTTAGAGAAGCCAGACCACAGTCCCATTGATTGTGAGACACCCTTGGCCATGGACAAGTTCATTGCGGAGGCTTGCCGGGAATGTGTCAAGGTCCAGCCCTTTAGGCTCGTCTTTGATGTCCATTTGTCCATGGAAGCCTGTGGAGACCCTGCTGAAACTTCCAAGAAGCTCTCTGAGTCAGATGTGGAAGGCCTTCCAGCAGCCATCAAATTCAAAGCCCCTCTTCCTGAAGGATCCAAGGTTGATTTCATCCATGTCAGCAAGGACGATGGTAAGGTTGACGTCCTGAAGGTGATCTACACGTCCCGTCCGATCTCTTCCCAACTAGCCAGTTCTTTCTGCAGTGGCAAAATGCACTTACCTGTCCATCGAGCAGGCCCATGGAAAGTGAAGAAAGCCAACCAATGGCTTCTAGGTCAACTTGGTGGTTATCAGCTCCGCTGGCATGTCTTAGAAGAGAAGACTGCAGACAGTGCTCCACCAAAACCTTCATGGTCCCCATCAAATGCTGAACTTGAGGAAGGCGTTCTGTTCATCAACGCGCATGCACCAGAGTGTGACGCACAAAATGAGCAGACCCTGTGGATCCTCATAAACATCAAGTCCGACTCCGGCACGCCAATTGCCAGCTGGCCCGAGCCAAAGGTTCGGCTCATGTGCCAGAACAAAAGTCGAGGACAAGCGGGAGCCGTGAGCATGACAGAGTTCCCTTTGACTACCTACAGCCTCAAGCCCTTCTTACACTCAGCCCTCTTGCCTCTCCTCTACCCCTTGATGCTCAACTTTGGCGTGTTGTTGCTGGGGTGTCCAGGAGTTGGCAAGACTCCCTTTGTTGTGATCTTGGCAATGGCCCTGGGAAGGTATCATGTACGCCTGAGTGGTGATACAAACTTGAAACCTGGGTGGCGTAGGGCCAAGTCTTTGGACAACTTTCGTCACCGCGCTCCTCGCGTTCAAGAAGCCTTGTTCCTTGATGACCCTTGCCGCGCCAAAGTGAGCATGGCTGACTTGAAGAGTTTCCTGACTGTGGATGAGGATGGAACTGTTGAGTTCCGCTACAATGATACCCGCCTCATCAGGAATCAGTTGCGGGCCTATGCCTCCAATGATCTGAAAGATGACTTGGAGGAAGAGCAAAAGATTGGAACTACTCTCCCTCCAGGACGCTTTCTGGTCATGCTGGATGACTTGTTGGCCGGGGAGAAGGAAAAAGATGTTCTGGCTGTTCTGAAACGTTCCATCATCTTCGTCTTCACCGGTATGGCTCTATACTTGCGCTTGCCCAGTGAGAATAAGGAGGCCATCATCCACCGCATCTGTGTAGACGACTTGCACAAAGACTTGCTGGCTGACAAAGACAAGCCCTTCTATGGCAAGTACAAGGCAGGCTCCATGGAAACTGGCCCCTCTTTTGATACTGATGTAGGTCGAGAGCAAAGGATGCTGGAGCAGGCAATGAACACAATGGCAGAGTATGAGGAAGTCCAGGGTTACATTGAGTTCGTCAACGGCAAGATTCAAGATGCACTGTTCCGATCTCAGGACATCCACATTCTTCCAGGCTCTCCATCGTCGGATGACGACGACCAGGTGCCTTTGGCTGCTCGTCCTGTGCCACCCATTGGAACTCATTGTTCTGGTCGTCGTGTTGGTCCATTTGTCTATCCTGGCCGCCGTGTGCGGAGGAAAGCAACACCTGTGTCTCAAGAGCTGGAAGAGTTGGCTCAGGCTGCCGAGGCACAGACTGCTGTCTTGGAGGATGGCACCAATGATGAGATGGACTTTGAAGCTGCTCTGCTACACACCGCTGCAGATGAAGAGGCAGCTCATGCGCTAGGCACTCTTGATGCTTAGGAGTAGCTACTGTAGCTTCACCAATTTATTGTGCGTGTACTTCACGTGCAATAGCTTGCGTACATGCTGTCGTTCCGGATAGACAGCTATCGCATTGATCATATCTGGGGAAAAAAGTTTGTCCCACAGCTTCTTTTGTCAACGGAACTGAGTTTGTCTACCCTCATGCTTGCAAGCGCTTGCAAATCATTCCACTCCAAGTCCACCAGCACCATACCAAACCTAATTGCTCATTCAAATTCAGTGTCTGATTCAATTTTGTCACTCGTTATAGCTGTTTGGTTTCCGCCTAGCTCCGAAATTGCGCCTTGCCATGTCCAAGTTCAACAACTTTCCCGTGCCCAAGAAAGGTAAGCTACGTGCTGTATTGAAACGGCCTGCGAGCATGAAGACCAAGGCATGGAAGCAAGTGAAGTATGTGCGATCCCCTGATGCAGCTCCTGAAGTTCGCATGGACCGCTGCAAATGGAAGCGCTCCTTGGCACAAATTTTGCAAAGCTCTCCATCTACTTTGGTGAAGATGCTTCGTGAAGATGGACTTCTTCATAAATGGGAAGGGCATGTCTGTCCGCGATGCTGCCGTGGCACCCTTGGTGGCCTTCAACAACTTGGAGGTTTACTAAAGCATAGATGCAGTGCCAAGAAATGCCACACCTACATCAACCCGCATCATGCTCACCCCATTTTTGTGGATCATTGGGGCTCTTCTTCTACACCGCTTGCCACCCAGGCATGTTTACTGATGCTCCTGCTCAACCGTGTTTCCCACCCCACCATCCATCGCCTCCTGCATGTCAACCATAAGAGCATTGAGGATATGGAGAAGAGATTAGGCCAGCTACGTGAAAGGTGGGTCAGGAACAAGGAGAAGGACATCAAATTTGGGCAAGGTGGAAAATGGCAGGACGTGGAAGCCGATGAAGCCACGTTTGACAAGAAGGTCGTGAATGGACAGCTGCACTGGGAGCAGTGGTGCGGCATTGTCCAAAGAGGTAAACCTCAGACGCTTGTCCTCCATCGCTTGAAGCCAGTCATCTCCAAACTTCGCGCTCCAGGCCCCGGTGCTATTCGAAAAGTTGAATGGCAACCATTGGCTGTGAAATGGCTTCAACACCGTGACATTATTCTCCACACCGACTCGGCAAAAAGTTATGCCATCAAAGTCAAGGGTGTCCTCCATGACCAGGTCATCCACAAAAAGAAGCGGGTGAAAGTCAATGGAGAATGGAAATGGCTCACTCCAAAGTATGTGGAGTTGCACAAGCATGTCCTCCCCGGCAGCAAGAAGGCAATCACAGTCAAAAAGGGCACCCAGATCATTGACAGATGCTGGCGTTTCCTCAAAGACCGGTTGAACATCAACCAGAACTGCAAAGTTGGCAGCAGTCTTCTGCGCATCCGTTTGCGCTCTGCTCAGTATGAGTACTGGCATAGGGGGCAGGATCTGTGGTTGGCAACGGGTTCTCTTGTTCAGTGGTTCTTGTTGAAGGCCTAGAGAGCCCAGCCACCACAGCGGGGCAGAGTTCAAAAGAATCAGCGCGTCGCTGCTAGCACCTTCTGCTGTGTTCTAACCTTCTTGACTTTGCTGCCATCGCATATCTGTGGGCTTCCTATGTAAATTTCACGCCTATTTGCTTCAATCATCTGCTTCAATAATCTGATTCTCATGTCCTTCCTGATCCATCATCTGCTGGCAAATGTCTTCCACATATTC